CTGGAAAATTCAGTCAGTCTCTTGGCAATAGTTATGTTTCTGCCTTGTGCTTGTAGGAGAACGAAGAATGTGACAGATTAAAGAAACAGTCTCTCTGCAGGGATGTCAAACACCAGGTTTACAATTGATGAAAAAAAAGTTAAAAGTTAGAGATGCTGGGTACTTCAAATGATTGGAAACTGCATTGAGTCAAACAAGAAGGAACCAGAGTTCTGGCATAATAACAAAACAAAATGAACAACATTCTATCTATGCATCCATATGTTGTGCTAGTGAAACAGTATATATATATTTGTGCTCAGAATTTATCCAATACGTAATGGAATGTAGAAGGAGAAGCAAAGTTGGTTGAGGTGTGCCGAAACCAATGTACAAGTAGGCCTGTAGAAGAGGGCAAAAGAGGATTCAAAGAAAGCACACTTTATTGCAAGTTTATAGAGCTTGTCTACTGAAAGCTAGTAAGGAGCTTTTACTCTGTTTGAGGTATATATGTAACTAAGCTGAGGATTACCTGTGGCTCCATCACCTAGTGATGTGGACTGGGGTGTAAGAGCTTGAAGCCGCTGATGCATCGCTTCTGCGAAAAAGAGAGACCAGCGAAGGAAGCCATGATGTAGCTTACGTTAATGGAATGTTTAGACGTGAAGTAATGGATTAGTACTGATAGTGTGTGGCTGACCTTGGATACGTAAAACGGAGTGACAGCATAGGAGGTATAAATAAGATGCTTGATTTGTAGGTTTAGAGGAAAAGGCAAAAAGTACAATAGTTTAAAAAAGTCTTGAATCAAGCAAACTCTACTTGTGACATGGAACAATAGACAAAGCCCTGGCGTGAGTGATAGAGTAGTTGTGAAACGGCGTGAAGCGTGCGTACCTGTATGATGTGTAACTGTGTGCTTAGTCCAAGATTATCTCATGAAAAGGTGGTATTCTGGATGGTATGTAGTAGGTCGTAGGGAGTGCCTGAAAGAAGACCTTAAACTGAGCGTGAAAGAGTGTCAGCGGCTGTGTTATGGACACCAGGAATGTAAAAGCAGACTAAAAAGAGCTGAGAGGTTGCTGCCAGCCAAGTGAGCCTGTGAAAATAGCCACAAAAATGGTTAGCGAGGATGGCCGCCCGAACATAGGCCAGGTGCCATAGTGAAGGGTGAATAGATAGTAGATTAAAGGCGTTGGATAAGTCCGTCTTGCTCAACCAAGCCTTACTACTTGCTAAGTGATAGCTTGTATGGCATGATCGATTTGCATAGTGCAGTGAGAACTCCATAGCGGGAATGAGGGAGTTTGATGCTGGGAATGCATGTAGAGTGCGGTGCGGAAGAGGTCTATGATCAGACGTATTATAGGGTATAGTGAATTGCTACCTCGATGGGAATGGTACGCCAAGATGAGAAGTGTGAAAACCGGAAGGAGGCGATCGTGAACCCAGCGTATGACTGCTGTGGACAGAAGGTGGTCCACCGTAAGAGGGTCAATGGGTGCAGATAATAGGTTAGGGCATACGAGTGTACCTGTGGGAATGGCGATAAGGCCCGTGTGAACCCCTGTAAGAAACCCGGCACCAGAATCTACCAGATGCCTAGCTGGGTGTAAATGCAGATAGTATATCAGGATAACAATGTTAACCTTAGTTGGGCGTATCTTAGGTGACAGATGGGCTGCATATGTGGACTAAGTGTAGGTTCTGGAGCAGATGTGCAAAATCCTGCATATAGTGAAATAGCATACCCCAGTATTAAAGTCATAGTGCACCCGAGCCTTCCCCAGAAATGAAATGGTCAGCCCAGCTTGTCCCTCTGCCCGCCTCCCTGACTAGTGCGTGGGGTGAAGGGGTGGTGAGAAGTGGAAGTAGCTGTCTCTATGTGAGAGGCAATGATAAACAGAGGAATGGAAAGCTTTGTTAAGTTGTGGGTGTCACTCTTTGGATTACTGAAATGTCACCAAGAATATAGCTTTGGTACTCTAGGGAGTCTTGTGAAGTTAAGTAGTGATGTTAATTTAACGTCCTTTCCATCGAGAATTACTTTCTCCATGGAAATTGGAACAGGGTGGGCCGGTGAGATGTATGGAGTAGTGATAGTGGGTGGTGGGGGACGGGGAGGGAAATGAGGGATTAGCCAGACTGTATGACCGAGATCGCCAGGTGAGGGTCTGCCGGGCTTAACGAGACACCTGGTGTGGCTATAGCCGATTCCATTTATCAGCCAGTTAATCATTTGGAGGCTGGCCAGGATAGCGACTGGGGTCTCCTGATTGGAATCTGAGGATTAAGCTGACGGCCCTTGTGAACTAAAGCCGGGCCTGGGAACGTTGGGTTGAGCCGTCGTGAGCCAGTGTAGTTCTGCCTTACTGGCAGTGGCTGGGGAGGGGATACCCCTGTGTCAGAGCTCTGCTGATATTTTTTGGAATGTACCAGAATCCCAGGTAACTGAGGGTAGAAGGAGTGAGGGATTCCTATGGAGACCCAGGCCAGACTGGCGTGCTGGGTATTTCGTCCAACAGCAGATCGATTATCGGGATGGATACTTGTGACATTCTGAAAAAGAAATAATGATTTGGATAAGTAATGTGTCTTAGAGGTATGGATGAGACCTTCAGAGAACTGGCCTGCTAGCTAGTGCCGAGGCGAAGAATTTACCTAGAACCAAGTGACAGGTGAGGCCCTGCTAGTGCCAAGTGGCGGAGAGAGGCTCTACCTATGATTTGGGCCGATGGGATTTTATGGCCACTTGAACGTGGTGGCAGGATGTCGGCCTCTCGGTGACCGTAAGAGATTCAAAACGTGTGGCCGTGACATGGGAAGCCCTAACTGTAGCCCTAAAGAAGGGCAAGCGAGGTGGTTAATTATGATTTGGTCGTGGGGCTGAGCCTCCGTGTTGAGGTGGGGTGTAGAACTCGCGGGACCGTAGTATTACTTAGGATAGCTAAGACCAAGCCTCCATTGCAAGCCAGTAACCAAACTCATGCTGATGAGTTGCTGTCCATGTGTGGTTCACTGGCTTTGCCCCTCTTCCTGAGTTGTGTTCAAAGCTGTTGTTTGCAGCAGACACATACTCCAAGGAATCCATACACAGTATAAAGTGTTATTATGAGGCAAAAATTTGGTTCTATGTTGAGCTCATTTGCATACGCATACCCAGAATCCCTTGCAGTAGTGAGAGCACTGTTAAAGTGAAATTTCTGTGGGAAAAGCAAGAAGCAGGTCTTATGGCTTCACTGGTGTGTGTATTTGTATTTAGCAATGTATTAACTATTTAAATATATATATATATATATAAAACTTGGCGGCACTAATAAAGAGTGGGCTTTGGTGTAAACAATTAGTTGAGCCCCCTACAGAACATGGGTGGCAAAAAAGTTGAGATCCTTTACTACTGTAAAGCTCACATCATTCCTTGCCTAACTGTGTCCCTGAGGTTATTCCATAATTGTGGTGCTCTGTAGGAAAATGAGCATTGAACCACTTTATTTTTGTATTGCGGTATGCTAAATATCGTGCTAGTACTGGATCAGAGGTTATAGGAGGTGGGAACAGCCGGGGAGAGCATTCTACTCAGGTAGGGTGGGAGCTTCCCAGAAAAGCTCTTATGCACAAGGCTGGAAAGATGAAGAGTGCGTCAGGATTCCAGCAATAGCCAGTTTAGCTCTTTTAACATATCACAATGGTGGGTAAAGTAATTACATTCTAGTACAAAGCGGCAGAATGAATTATATAACGTTTTAAAGGACCACTATAGGCATAATGAAGTGGTCTGGGTGCCAGGTCCCTCTAGTTTTAACCCTGCAGCTGTAAACATAGCAGTTTCAGAGAAACTTCTATGTTTACATTGAGGTTTAATCCAGCCTCTAGTGGCTGTCTATCTGACAGCCACTAGAGGCCGTTTCCGCGATTCTCAGTGTGAAAATCACACTGAGATGACGCTGGACGTCCATAGGAAAGCATTGAGCAATGCTTTCCTATGGGTGGTTTGTAAGCGCGCATGGTTCTGGCGGCGCACCCGCATTTGGCTCCACTTGGGAGCTGACGTCGGCTGGGGAAGGAGAGGTCACTAGCGCCACGTAGCCCGGCGCTGGATTAACGTAAGTGGCTGAAGGCGTTTTAACGAGTTTGTTTTTCTGGCACTATAGTGCTCCTTTAAGTTTATGAAGGTGGGTTTGTGATGCAGGTGCATACACTACATCCCCATAGTCAATGACTGGCATTAGCATTTGTTGCTAAAGTAAGTTATTAACTGGTACCACATGCAGCTGCACAACACTGCCCCATGTGAGATTAGCAGAATGAGGGAGTAAAAAGAGTAGGGACTGAATAATATATGACATGGGTATGAAACAAAAGTTGTGTAATAAAACCACTGGGACCAGCATCTCTATATCAGTACTGCTATGCTTAGAGTGAGAATGGGAGTATAAATAAAAAGCAGACAATGGAAAACATATCAAAATGGTGGCTCCAGAAGCTGCAAGGCTCTATTGCTTAAACTGTGGGTCATCATATGATAGGTCACTGTCATTTGCTGTTTTGGTTAGTTGTCTAGTGCCAGAAGATGGCGTCCCTCCAGCCCTGGGCTCGTTGAAAGGCTGACATCTCTATGCCACAGACTCGGTTACTCACTGAGACCAGCGAGGAATCTGGGTGGTCACAAGCTGATGCTGGCTAGCGGTTCTCCACTTGGATAGATGGTGAGGGCTCAGCCATGGTATATATGTGTGGGTGCACTTAAAGGACCACAATAGGCACCCAGACGACTTCAGCTCAATGAAGTGGTCTGGGTGCCAGGTCCCCCCAGTTTTAAGACTGCAACTGAACACATAGCAGTTTCAGAGAAACTGGGCACTCCAAGACTCTATAGTGCCAGGAAAAAAAAAAAAACTATAGGATCCTTTTAATATGTAAGAGGAAAATTATGGTTGAACAGACATATAGACAAATCCCAGGTTTTGTTTTGGTTCAGAACTTGTACAATTACAAGCAGTTTTTATTAAAAAATATTAAACCATGGATATTATTCTGCAGTTCCATTTCTATCAATGCAGCCCTATATTAAGCTGTAATATAATATTCCATATATCCATCCTAACAAGACATATTCCTACACCCAGTGTAGCTCTGATACATGACTGCCACATGTTTGTATCCCCTCTATTCTCAGTCTGTCTCGCGCACACACTGGTCTATCAGCCGCTGTAATCGGCTTTGCTGTTGCCGTGGTAACCGCGCTCTGCGTTCGATTGCTTTGTCTGGTTTGTGCTCTGCGCGCGGCGCATCGCGACTGAACCATAAGGAAAGGAAGATGGCGGCCTCCGGGAATGGTCTGCTCGGCCGGGGCCTGGACATAAGCTTAGCCGCTTTACAGCAGCAGGACCCGTACATCCGGGGTATCGTCGATGTGGCAAGTCAGGTGGCTCTCTATACTTTCAGCCACAAGGCCAACGAGTGGGTGAGTGAGTGAGAGGGCTGCATAGAGGGCTGGCCAGGATTACACGGTGTGTCAGTGGGAAGCCCCATGGCAGGCTGGGCGGCCGACAGATCCCACAGATGTTGGAGGACTACATCTCCCACACTGCTTTACCAGCCGTAAGGAAGAAGAAGGCAGCATGGGAGTTGTAGTTCTGTAACAGCTGGGGATCTACATGCTGCCCATTGTTACCTTATGGTGAGGATAATGTGAAAGACCTTACTTTATCATGTGGCTAAACCTCAATACTGCATCATTATTTACCTTTAATAGTATCAAGACCAGCTGCCCACTTTGTTGTCCAACCACTATTGACAGCCACACACAGTGTTTAAATAAACTGCAAATGCCCACAGTTTGGAGCAACTGAAACAATCTTAAACGATTAAGGGGCGTATAGACTGTAAAATCCAAACATGGTTCGCGCAACGTCTGGATTTTGCAATACTAGATCCTAATCAGCGAGAATCTAATCTGCTTTTCAGACTGTACAGATGTATGTGACTGTGTGAAATAATTTATAAAGTCAAACTGTCTGCGCTAGCAGCCAACGAGCAAATGGTTAAAAAATCCAAAGACAAAACACCAAACATCGGTAGTGTATGGGTTAAATGGAAACTCCATGCTGGAGATTCTGGAACCCTGGGAGGCAGTGATGAATGCCCATCTGGACCCAGGTAAGTTTTGAAACCAGATGCAAGGGCACCAACCTCAACTACAAATTAGCAAGAACTCTTGGCTTTCACTTCTGCTTGCAGGTAGAGTCACCCGGCAGACCCTAGGTGAGAAGTTACACTGTGTTAAAAATGGTTTGACTTCTTAAAATAGGGGGCACTCCTGGCAACATAACCACTGCAGCTCACTGATTGCTCTCAGCTGTGCTCTGGATAGCTGAGCTTAGCTCAGAGAGCTCCTGGTTCTGTGAAAACTGTAGTAGAGGCAGAGAACGGAACCCAGTAGACCACAGGTGAGAACTCATACTGTTATAAATCTGATTGCATCCATTGGTTGTGCACTAGGGCAGTCCTGTTGCCAGCAGTGGCTATGGTGCTTTGAGTTTTCCTTTGACGCTCAGACTCCTAAATATTGACTACAAGGAAATAACAAATGTCAGCAGGAAAGTAATTAGTCCATATAGAATAAAATTATGATTTTTTTTTATCTCAAATCGCACAGTGAATAACAGTAAATAACTTTTTTAGTATTTGGGTTAATACATGGGCTGCTAACTGTAAGCTCTCTAGGTATTATTCATTTATAACGCACAATTATAAAACATCATATAAACTGTATTTCTGTGCCAGGAAGGAGTTATATGTTGGCTTCTTAAAATCTCTACATTTAATAGTTTGTAACTAATCATATTTTATTTCAGGAAAAGACAGATGTTGAAGGAACATTGTTTATTTATACCAGGTGAGTGATGAATATAGCATTTAGTTTTTTAGGTTGATGGTATACACTGTGTGCAGCTGTGTTTGCCAAAATGATTTAGGTCTCTGTACTGGTTTTTGTTCCGTAATGAGCACAATAACCGTCTCTGCAAAGATTTAAAAAAAACAAAAAACATTTTTTTAGTGTTTTTTCCCCCCTATATTCTCTGTTGCTGTGCTTTTTATTGCAAGAATGCTGTGTGCATGCATACACACCTGCCATGTATACAGCACTGCAAGAGTTAACAAATTTGCCTACTCCTCACACCATGCAAATTCAAAAAAAATTATAAACAAATTTAAATATTTAGCACAACTGAACAATGACAGTTCCTCTTTAGTAAATATGATTTATTATAAAATTGTTGTACACTTTGAAGTCTGCATGTTGCGTTCAGTCTTTAACCCCTTAAGGAACAAACTTCTGGAATAAAAGGGAATCATGACATGTCATCTGTTAAAGAGACCCTGTAGACACTATAACCATTTCAGTTCATTGAATTCAGTATAGTGCCTGGAGTTGTCTGGCACTGTCTCATCTTAACTGTCTTACTCTAAATAAGGGTCCCTGGACAATCACAGCCCAGCCCCCAGAATCTTATGTAATACTCATATTGACTGTTGGATATTCACTGAAATTCCAACACACTCACGATATATACTGAGGTAATGTAGGGACTACTTTGTCTCAGTACTACTCCTACGCCTAACCCTTCTAGACACTGGGCAGAGCTACCGCTGTCTAGAAGTGTGAATCCCTTTAGCCATAATTTGTGACCGCTGCAGGGAATTGGCTTTATGGAGGATCCTGTGTCCTCCATAGAACTCGACGTCGCAGTGACGTCTCCTGGCTCGGGAGAAGATGGCGGCACCCGCGAGGGACAGGTTAGGTAAATAAAACTTGCCATTTCCTACCCTTCCCAGCCAACGTACCTTTAGTGGCGATGTCGCCATCTGGGATCCCCGCAAATTATGCAAAGTCCCCAAACGGTGATAGTGCTGCTTTACGTTTCATTAAAAATGTATGTAATAAACTTTTAGATAAACAAGTGAAAATGTTATGACAGTTGTTCTTTTAAAGTGAGTCTGTTGTCTACTCCCCATATAGATAACCAGTAAAAGTAACTTTTTAATTTTTTGCACTGATGACACATGCTTCATATTTTCCAGAACCCTGGTGTTTTTCGGTTAAACTGTTGACCTTACACTCATATTTTAGGCTCCATATCTCATCATAATCCACTATACAAGTTTCTTATTGTGCACTTGATACATTAATGAAAATGCGAATTTGAACCATTGGAAAAGTATCTTCCTGCAGAAGAATACTGTGTTATTCAGGCAGCCCTTATCCTAACTGAAAATGACCATATTATATAAACCTATTAAATTTCAGGTTTATAGGCTCTGAATCTTGCACAACACTCTCATTGTCAAGCTAATGTAAATGTTAGTAGCCAAAGTTTTGCATTGGGTTATTAGTAATTAATTCCTGTTTATTGATATGTTATTTTATATGTGCTTAGGTCTGCATCACCCAAACATGGCTTTACAATTATGAATCGACTTAGTATGGAAAATCGGACTGAGCCCATCACTAAAGATCTTGACTTCCAGCTTCAAGACCCCTTCCTGTTATACAGGAATGCTAGATGTGAGTAGTTGTATGCGATTTCTCGGACTGTAAACATTTCTCTGACTATACATGATTTTTGATGGCTGTTTCTTGAAGATATGTTGCAGAATTTCTAAGTGAAAACAATATATATTTTTTTTTGTTGATAATATAAAATAACATGGGTGTACTTTAAAGAGAGCAATATTATCCTTTTCATTGAACATCAGGGTAATATGTGAAACCAATTTGATACAATGAATACATTGTTGAAGTATTTGAGGTCCCTGATCAGCAGAGCTCATGTCAGTTTGGCAATGCTAAAGTGGTAAGCACAGTTTGGGGTGTCCAAACAAAGAAGGTAAAACCTCATATTGATGTTGCAGTCTGAGGGGTGGGTTTTTGGTGATATCTTCAACCATTTAAAAATAGTTTTACAAAAAATGTGGGATAACACCATAACCACTGTGACAAGATATAGTGGCTACTGTGTTTAACACCCTTTTAAGATAATACCTTTTTTACCAGGCAGTAACTGTATGCTTCAACATCAAACTGGTACCGCAAATATTCATAATGATTTTTTTCCTTGATGCTCATCTAGCCTTACTAGCACTTTTTTTTTTTTAGGCTTAAAACGCCCTCTTGGGCGAAGATTCTGGCGCCTATTTCCCTCAGTCCAATAAAAAGCTTCTCCTATAGAAGCCTGTAATTGCACTGTTTCGCCAGTTTAGAGTGCATGTGCGCACTCTGAGCTGAGGGAGGAGGTGTTACTAATTTTATAACTAAATAAAAACAAAACGCAATATAAGTAATGAAGGGAGGCAGGAGGGAAGCGCAAGCATCCCCTTACAGGCATGATGCCTGCAAGGGAGGAGATTGTTACTTATGTTGCCAGTGTGCAGTGCTCGCTGACGACAGATGTAAATTTGCACAGAATTATGCAAAATTGTCCTTGTTCTTCTTGACCACCTAGGTCACATGGACTGGCAGCACTTCTGAGTCTTGAAACCAATTTATACAATTGCATAAACCTGCATTTTATTTCACTATTGAATTATGCTACATCTTGTTAAACATTTGATATCTGCATACTTTGTCCATGCTCTTATGCTTGTTCACATAGGCTACATGGTCTAGTAGACATTACAAAATGTTCTCCTTCAGAAATACAGATCACTGCAAAGGTTGGCACACCTTTCCACTGCTAGGTCGTTCACCATGGTTGTTAAAATCAATCTTGTATTAAGATAGTCTGTAACAAATGCAAGCCGGTCAGGAATAGCAGTTTGAGTAGTGTTGTATTGGGCGGGAGCGACTCTGTGTGGAACAATCCTTAGAGACAAACACCCCCTGACAGAAACAGAACCTCCCAATATCAAGGAAACACCAGCTGCCTTGTGGATGAACAGCTATAATTACTGAGAGCCGGCTTTAAACATAGGGAACACACCACACCACCTGCCCCACGTTCCCCAAAGAAATCAACTTGAAAAGCAAAAATGCCTGTAGATAGATGGATGCCTAAATATTTATTCAGTGTAAGAAAGAAAACAAAATCACTGATTCTCCGGTTACTGAGTAGATTTACTGAGCATTATTTTGTTGACTGCATATAGCAAGTTTGGGAATGAAGTTTCTTTTTTAAATAACATGCTATTTTATTTTTGACTTTATTACTGATATTTTCATGTGAGTGTTCATAAAGAACATTATCCGCAGAAGATAAGTACAATAGGTAATAAAAGTTTCCCTGTCAAATTCAGTAAATATGGTATGGTGTCACTTTCTCTTTGTTAGACATTAAAGGGCACCTGTCATGCCTCAAACAAGTTGAGCTTTTTTTTTTTTAAAGAGCATGGAATTTCATATATATGTATATGTATATATTGTTAGCTGTTTTACTAGCAAATGAATCGAGTGGACAAAAAAATCTATATAAAAATCGTTTCTCTAACCTGTCAATCAATACTTTGCCATAAACTCTATGTGAGGCATTAATTGATCAAGGATAGCAGAAGAATCACAGGTAACCTTTCGGTGCTCCATTCATAGCAACCACAGCACATGCACTGTGATTGCTATGGTAACTCTCTAGACAATGAAGCCAGCACGTCGGTGTCGTGGAGGAAATTTGCCCTGCTTTGGGAAGTATTCCTGAACAGGGCAAAATAGTGATGAGAGCAGGAAGAGCGAAGTTGGTTGTTACAGGAGAGTAACACCTATCTTTCTAACGCTATCGCAGCAGGAGAATGCTTATTGAGGTAAATGGTGGCAGGTTCCTTTTTAAATGTTTGAGATTTTATCTCTCACAACAAATATTGCTTTACTTGTGTAAACGTCAAGTATGACATGCCATAAGTGATCTGGCTTCTAATGTAGGTGTTGGGAGAGTGCCTGGATGTACATAATCGAGGCAGAAGAAAATGTCCCAAATGTTTCCAAGTTAAATCGTTTTGTTTATGCAGTCCTAGTCCAACCTTCCTGCATGTGCCTTGCAGTAAAGACACATCTAATTTTTCAACTTCCTTTATTGCATAGTCTGTTTAATTTAGAATTTATTTCCTGCTCTGTTAATAACCTTCTAGACCCTGAGTGTGTTTAACATTAAATGTACAGAGCTTAAGATAAAAACTTCTAAAGCAAGTTAACATCTATTTGAAAACAAAACCCTTTTTTTCATGCAGGCAGTGTCTGTCACCACTGGAGGAGGTGTGTCTAGGGATGAATAAAAGGAAAGAAAGGTGATTTAACTCCTGATATAGATATTTATAACGGATAAATCATCCCAGAGGCTCCTAATTAGATATACGAGCACTCAGGAGAACCGATAATAAAACCACAGACTCAATTCGTTTGTAGTTCAAAATCATCTCAATCTTTAATTGGGAGAGCATTGCATATATAAAATGGCATTCGTCTACTGCGCATGTGTACGTGTAAGCAAGGGACAATTACTTTCTACTCTTACTTTAACGTCTTATCTGAACTATGCAAGGTTAACAAAAAAGTAACATTTCATGAGAAAGAGAAGAAGCAGCTGCTGACCCAAACAATTTAGCTTTTAACCCCTGCAGACGTGGAAGGGCCTAACTAAGGCAAAGGCTTTAACCATTTATTTACCTTTATCTATGACACTCCTAAATGGCAGAAAATTGAGCAGTGAGGTTATATACTGTGGCAAACCCTGCCACTAGAACTGATCATTCTGTGCGAATGAAGGACTTTTCACCAAGGGAATAACTAACCGAATGGACTTTCTTGTTATATTGCTGTTTTTAGGCGAATGGCCGAAACTACCGAACGGGAGACCACCCCGGGGTGGTCGTGTGTTGCTAATTAACGGACTGATACAATGTTGCGAGGAAATCAAGTGCCTGTATGTGTGGCCGCCATTTCGCATACCGAACATGTCGGCGGCCATCTTACGCACGAACAGCGGTACTTGGTTGTCGAACGCCTGGAACTCAAACCGGGCATTCGACTAACCAAGTACCGCTGAGACCTCCAGCATGCTCCGACAGCACGAATCAAACACATGAACGCCCCGGCGTTCGGTAGATTCCCCTAAACGAGGGGATTCGTCCAAAGGCTTGCATTCGCATGGATGGCTATGTTATTCGGTATTTTTAATTCACTGAAATAGACCGACCGCAGGGCCAGAATTCATGGAACAGTTTTCGGCTCTGAGTCCCTGCGGTCGGTCAAAACTGTAACTGTCTGTAACTCCCGAACCCCTGGTCCGATCTGGGTGGATTTCGAGTATGTTGCTCACCCAGATCAGACCTACCAGGGGACCCCTTATTTGTCCCTGTACCCCTGTATTTAGGGGACATCCAGAAAGTGGGGAAAACTTTGTCTTTACTAATCTGCTTAAGGGCTAATCTAAGGGGAGGAGAGTGAGGGGAGGTGACCGGGTTGCAATTGGTTACTGTAATTATGAAAGTTACCTCCCTTGCATGGGAGAAATGCATAAAAGCAGAACTGTGATTAAAGCTGACAGTTGACTCCCAGACTATGTGTCGTCTAGTCCTTGGGGAGGTGGACTATGCTGTGTTCCTGTGATTTTGTATGCTGAATCTTTGCTCCAGCGGAGAGCCCTTGGATTAACCCCTGCTACTCCGCTACATATACAAAAACTGCTTCATTAACCAAAAGTAGTTTTGATGCCTATAGTATTCCTTTTAAGTTGACAATCTGAACTGTACATGGAAATAAATGTCTCCAAACATGGCTAGTTGAATACAGTGTTCTTTTCTGTTGGTGTTGTGCATTTACATTATGATACCCTGCCTTGACAACTACAAACATGCATTTATTTTTGTAATTTAAAAAAATATATATATTTCTGTATTTTTAGGCTTATTCTAAGTAATAGATCTCAGAACATATGCCGCAGTATTGGCTATTTAAGTCCCCGAATATTGCATTTCTTACACATCTGGCCCAAAGCCGCAAAGTTTATAATATAAATGCGTTTTTCATCCTTTTGTTCTGGTTTTGGTCCTCTCTATACAAACGAACTTAAAGGGACACTCCTGTATCCTAGCTTGCGGAAGAAAATGCTGTATGGGTTAACAGTGAGGCTGCTGAGCCTTCTCTACTAAAACTGCTGATTTCTAGAGAAATCTGCTCTTTTGTAAATCCCTTTGACAGCCTGCATGCTTGCTTTGAGCATTCAAGCAAAAGTGAGTGTTTCTCATAAAGAAGCATTGTTTATCGTTGTACATGTGCTTGGTGTCCTCAATCACCATGCCTCTTTATGCTTCTGATTGAGCATAAGTGATCAGTAATGTTGATTTGACAGTAGGCAATTGGAGCTTCAGAGCCAGAGGCTCTTTTGGCAGTGGCATAAATGTGAGATTTTAATAGATTTGTAAGCATTAGAATGAATAATATTTTCTTTTATACTTGTATAAATATATAATAAAAATATATAATTTTTTTAATTTTTTTATTGGAATGTTTTTCTTTAAAATGTACATACAGCTCCAGCACAATAGGCAATGCAAAGTTCAGACCTGTGTTCACAGCCATAACGCCGTATATGGGTATCCGGACCGACTTGGCTTGGAAATGTTTAGGATTTTAAGGCATGCTTTCCACTGCTAAAAATTGTTTTCAAAAGGCACAGATGCTGCGTATTAACTTCTGCAATACTTGGCTTGTCTGACTACGAGCCCCCAGCTCCAACTAAACCGAATACCTGCACAAACAATTGGTACATTCCATTATTTGCATGTAATTATCCCTTTCGGGGACAGCATTGCCTATAGCAGGTTGTGGGTGCCGCAGTGCAGAAACGGCACATGCTCAAATGTAAAAAGATGTGTACACTTCCAAACTTGCTGCTAGTTCTATGTACTGACAAACACCCAGTGGCTCTAGATTACATGTTATTGTGTATAGAATATCCCTTCCACATGTGTAATTAGTGGTGTTTGGTAAATTTGCTTTACTTACAGCAATAATTGTGGCATGTCAAGAGCACAATTATTTGTCGAAAGAAGCTGGAAGACTACAAGTTTTTTGATGATTTGTTTTAGAAAATATTCTCAGGCCTGAAAAATCCACGTCATTCGTTAGAAAACCAGAGGTTTATTCACTAAAATGGGAATTGTGCAGAATTGACAAATGGAGTGCAGATTTTAGGCCAAAATAATTTAGGATTAATATTTTATTTTTTAAATTTGCAATTCACTAAGTATAATCATTGATTTCGTGAATACAACTCCTAGGCTTTTATGGTACAGCACAGCAAATAACATACACAGCCCCCAAGATTTACCTTGTTGCCCTTCTTAATACCGAATATTAGCTACCATATATACCCCAATGTCATTATTGTGTTTGTTATAGAGATTTACATAATTTATATTTCAACTAATACCCCCTTAACATTGAAACAATTGTTTTCTATCTTTTAATTGTAACAGAGATACAATTTAAATACTAGGTTAAGGGTTACAAACATGTAAGCTCCAAAAATGCATTTGATCGTACTTCATGCAAGGAATTATCCAGATTTTGTTTATTATGCCAGGTACAGAAAATGTGAAACACTCTTGGAACATAGCCCATCCATCAGTGAGCGTCTGAAGGTACCTGCTCAGTTGTAACTACTGTTACCACTGGTTTCTAATAGATGGTAATAGCAGTCCATGCAAGATAATGCCCAACTTCTGTTCCGAAAGCTTTTATTATAATTATTTTTTTTTTTTTACTGTTTAATTAAATCCTTGAACATGCACTTGCTTTTCCTTATAGGTTTTCACTGTGGGAGTATAGGAATGGCTAAGGGATCCAAGGAGATCAGTGGTATAGTTATAAATGCTGAAAATAATACACATGTAACAAAAAGGATGGCAAATCTTTTATACAGAGTTCTTTTCAATGGCTTGGCAAAACTCTGGAGCTCTGTGGATAACTTTAGTGTCTACAGCATGCTGCCCATATGTGGTTTTAATTGTTTATTATATTTTTTAGAACGTGAGGAAATTAAGGTTAACTGGTAGTTGTCAGCACCAACATACAAAATTAAAGGGACACTCCAGGCACCCAGACCACTTCTGCCCATTGGAGTGTTCTGGGTGCCAACTCCCACTACCCTTAATCCTGCAAGTGTAATTAGTGCCGTTTTTTATAAACTGCAATAATAACCTTGCAGGGTTAACGCCTCTAGTGTCCCTAGTGAGCACCTCCAGCGTCCCTCAATTCCCCATAGGAAAGCATTTTCAATGCTTTCCTATAGAGAGCTCTAATGCGCGTGCGCGGCATTGCCGCGCATGCCCATTAGGTCTCCTCAGCGGGCGGGATCAGTCTCGCCCACCGGCTGACATAAGGAAGAGGAGGAGGAGCGGCGGCGAACAGAAACCACCGCTGAGGGACATCGGGGGTCTCGGGTAAGTTACTAAAGGGGTTTTCACCCCTTCAGCAACTGGGGGAGGTGGGAGGGATAGGGGACCTGCAGTGCCAGGAAAACAGATTGTTTTCCTGGCACTGGAGAGTCCCATTAAGCCTGTTGCTCAAACTCCCACTAACTCCTTGCAGCAATGACTATAGTACACATCACAAAAAAAATATCAAGTTGTCTGGAACAAAACTGAAAACCAATCTTAGCTGCCGATGCTGATGATACAGATGGTTCCACAAGACTTTAAAGTAATAGTAGAAATTAAGTAAACCCCAGCACTCGGCAAATCGTGGTATAATGGTGGTTTAATTCTGTCATCACAAAAATGTTTCGACACACAATGTATCTGTGGCTTGGGAAAGACACCTAGTGTGTTGAAACGTTGCCCTTTTGTGATAACGGAATAAAAATATCTTTATAACCTGATTTGCCAAGTGCTGGAGATTGCTTCTTTTATACTATAGTACAATTAACAAAAATATACTGTATTTGATTGTGTTACATAGACATGTAACCGTGCTGCTGCCCACCCATGTGTTCCCTATTAAAGGTTAAGAAGTATGTAGGGGTTTAGAAAAATAACACTCCCTGTTTCAGAGATTTTGTCTTCTAGCGGAAGTGAATTGTTGGTGTAGGACTCACCTAAGAGGTTTTGCCTTGACGTGGCAGTTGAGCTTAAACTTTAATTGCCATTGGAGTGATACTTAAAAAAGCCTCCAGTTATTTATATATGCACAGGGATTTGGGATAGTGTGTAAGTAAATCTTTGTATTTTTTTCTTTTTTCTCCCCGGTTGGTTTTTATTGTTAATTGTGAGCAACCAACATTACTATAGAGGAAATACATATCCTTCTATCAGCTTAGTCCTATTTACATCTCTACAGTAGTCCTAGAAAGAGAGCAGTTCCAGAAGTGGAACAATCAGCACAGGCATTCTATTGGTGACTTCTGCGTTTAGATATTTCCCCAGAGTTTCTTATTATATAAAATGTTATCTTCCGTTTCCTTTGCCACCCTCTGCTGGGTCTACCCACCTTACAAAACGCCAATATTATTCATTAATCACTTTGTATTCTCTCACATTTAAAAAAAAAAAAAAAAAATTAACTTTTCAGCTAAATTTTACGTTTTTGACTTTTTAATTTTGAACTTTCACTAACTATCATGCAAACCTTACATTATTTCAGTAGATCTTCAGAATTCAACTAACTCAGAGGAGTACAGAAGGGGGTACCCATGCACATAGTCAGTTTGCTTTTAATCACCCTTATTTAATTCTCTATGGGCACTTTTGCAACTTTTCCAGCTTGTAGATTTTATATATTTGATGAGAAAGTAATGAGTGCCTAATGGTAAGTAAACAGCAGTTTTCTTTTAGTTCATACCCCAATGTAAAGGACTGTACATGTATATGTACTCTTTTTATTGTTTCTGTGACGTGTTCAGATTTGAACACTTCACATCAATTTATGTCTGAATAGTAAATTTATCCCTTCTCATTATTAATGTCTCTACCTACGCAACCAGATATACAACTACCTTGTTACATATTTACCGCTACATTGTTTGATTGCTTTTGCTTGCATTAAAGATACAGTGACATAAAATCCTATTACAAAATATGAAGCACTTACCACCTGGTGGGATATGCACATAGCCAAGTTCTGTCTCCAGTATCATGTTGCCCTTGTAGTTCAAGCTGGGTCTATGAGACATGTTCTTGGGCATTGGTCGGTAGGCTCCAGTCGCATTCCGAATAATGTTGTGGAACATCTTTCTGGTTGAAGTTGAACGTAGCAGAGCTTAGCAAGGGAAGAAAGCGAAACTCAGTTGTTTTGCCTTATGAAGCGAAATGGAGGTACACAAATGAGCAAACATCTAGATCAACCCCATGTTAAGCTTTGAGTTTTCTAAAGAGCGGTTTCTAACTTTTCCTTTTACCTCATCCAACCCCCCCTTCCTAGTTGCTAATATTCTGAGTGTTTGGAGCTGCTTCCTCCTGTCCAGTGTAGTTTTACAGATTGTGACCTGTAGGGAGATTGACATAGCCTGCCTGTCATCTGCCCACTTCACTTAATCAGGAGGCAGTCTGCTTTGTGTAACTTGCCACCATTTGCCCTGACACAACCTCTCACGCTGAAGAGGGAGAAAGAGATACATCTTTCCAACAACGCAAGAACCACCGACCAAACAGAAATGGAATTCAGTTTAAAATATGCAAATATGGGCACCCTTCAAGCTATTTGGTAAAGGGTCAATAGAATAGACTTGGATACAATGCCTAGGATATTTTCTTCACACTCATTAAACTTTGAACCTAGTAGGGTGCCTTGTGCTTTAGAATTTCTTGGTGACAGAAGTGTGGGGTGATTTTTGAAGTTTGTTTGCTGTTGTATTTATTTATTGGGTTTACTGATTATCATCTTGAGTGAACACCAAACAAAACAGCGTGTGGGTGTGTGTGTTAAATTAAGCTGCTGTTCTGCAGTGCTCTATCCAAGGCAAATACTAAGCAAAGGGTATCGGCTGCATTTCCCAGTGACCCAACGTAAGTGTAAGACTTGGCTTGGTTGCTCTGCTATAGAGATCCAGTGGTGTTTAACTCTCTTGATAAGTACATTAGCCAACACTCTGGATTTGGAACTGCTAAAAAAAACTGTGCCTTCAAAGGCATATTTTGATCGCTAAACCGTAGCTCACCTCCCTCTTCTCTGTTTTTATTTAAAGGAACTTTGTAGTGTAAGGAATACAAATGTGTTCCTGACACTATAGGTCTAAATAGCTGTTTAGACCCCTCCCCTTCCCCGCTTATGTCCTGTTAAAAAGGTGATTTTATTAACTTTTTTCCAGAGCCGCATGTGTCTGGTTGTGGTTAACCCCAACCACGCCCCGTCTGCTGAGATCATCAGTCTTGCTAATCACAGCCAATAAAATGCTTTACCGTAGGAATGCTTTGGGAGGCTATTTCGGATGTGTGGCAATATGACCCTCTTTGCTTATCCACATCTTCTCATAGAGTTGCACTAATTTAATGCATTTATATGTGGAAAGTTCATCGCTTCCATGCAGCAATAACCCTGGAAGCACCTTTAGTGACTGTCTGAGTACCACTTGAGGTGTCTCTATGTATTAATGTAGGCACTGCCTTTTCTCTGAAAAGGCTGTGTTTACATTAAAGTGCCTGCAGGGATATACTAGACTCACCAGAACAACTACATTATATAATGTTTCAGTGTATTCAATGTGACGGGGAACTCACCATTAAGTGCATCAGTGTCTGGATGGGGTATAATTTGTGCACTGGCTCCTTCTGTTTTGTTGCTCGTCTTGGAGTGGAGCCATTTTGGATTGGTGGCACTTGGATTTCCTTTATGCTGATGCATGCCTTCTCGTTTCTGTATATTACCCCAGCTTACTGTCAAACCATTTTTAGAGTGATTTCACAAATGGGCTTTCCCTAACCTTCTATAGTCTGCCCCCTCTGCAGTGGCACTGATAATGCAGTAATGACACGTTATATAGGCTGAAGAGATCAAATGCAGATTCCTCAAATTTGAAGTGCAATGGTATGCTGAAAGCACTGGGTTAACCTGCCCATGGCTCTCTGGGCCTGTCACTGCTATCCAAGGCTTGTTGCATTTCCACTTGAAAAGTCAGAAGGGTTATCTTCTGTGCCATCGTTGCAGAGAGTGCAGGCTGTGGGGTACAATTATTATATATAGGGCTCTCATGTTTCCTATTCATTTTTGAAAGTTACCAGAAATAGTACATATAATAACTGTTTTGTTGGTTTTCCTTTCCAAGCAAAAAAACATTATGAGGACACTTAGGCAAACTCAAGCCGAAACTCTTATTTGAGGCTGGCTACTGATACCTAAATGACGCTGCACAACTGGCAGCAAAGGGGTTGAACTCATAGCAAAAACACTGCACATACATAAGGCACCATGGCCATTTCAAATCACTGAAGTGATCATGGTGCTTGGAGTAACTCTTTAAAGGACCACTCTAGGCACCCAGACCACTTCAGCTTAATGAAGTGGTCTGGGTGCCAGGTCCTTCTAGGGATAACCCATTTTTTTTTATAAACCTAGCAGTTTCAGAGAAACTGCTATGTTTATCAATGGGTTAAGCCTTCCTCCAAAGCCTCTAGTGGCTGTCTCATTGACAGCCGCTAGAGGCGCTTGCTTGATTCTCACTGTGAAAATCACAGTGAGAGCACGCAAGCGTCCATAGGAAAGCATTATAAATGCTCTTGCCGCACGTGCGCATTCAGCCGACGGGACGGGACGGGACGGGACGGGGTGGGGTGGGGTGGCTTCAAGAGCCGGGTGGGAGCACCCTCAGGGCACTATAGTGCCAGGAAAACGAGTATGTTTTCCTGGCACTATAGTGGTCCTTTAAGGGAGCCTTGACTTATTAAAATGTTACTGCTGCCATATTACTTTTTTCCTTCCTACCCATTGTTATGGGAGCCGGATTGTCTGGGTGCCATCTTACCTTTTAAAGGGTTAAACCATTTTAAAATGTATCAACTCCGATGTTGGTCCCTTGCCACTGGAGTGTTTCTTTAACCATAAAGCCATCCCAAACTCTGCTCTGACCTTGGTTTTTTTTTCTTCTAGCAATGAACTGTCGCTATACTTTGGTTGAACGGTTTGTAAATAAATCTCTCTCGCTGCAGCAATGATATCCATTTAAAAATAGCAGAGAAAATTCTCAATGCATTTGCGTTTTATTTAATATAAGCCAAATGCTAATCAATTGAGTGCGAGAAGTGAGCTAAATTTGGCATTTAGTGAATCAAACATTTACTGAACTATTGAAGATGCATATTTCCAGTGTACACAAATGCATACCTCCCACTTCACAGGAGGCAGACAAGCGATTAAATTTGCACAAAGGGGCAGAACTGCCCATAAAGAGACTGGGTCCGCCACTAGAATTAATATCTAAGCATGAAGTGAATGCATTCAAATAGGCCCGGCCCACTAAGAGTACACCATGCAAGGAGCATGGTTTCAGTGCTATCCGCATGGTCTTAATTGCAAGGCTTAGTGCTAGCGTATCTAATGATGTGCTTGAGCTATGTATGTTGGGGACAGTTCTCTGGTGTCCCCAAATGTGGGACACCAGGGATAGTGATGTCCCAAACAGTTCGCCGAACGGTTCGCCGCGGACTCCTCATTGAGTAAACTTTGACCCTGTACCTCACAGTCAGCAGACACATTCCAGCCAATCAGCAGCAGACCCACCCTCCCACCTCCTGGACAGCATCCATTTTACATTCATTGTGAAGCTGCATTCAGGAGGTGGCAGGGTCTGGGAGGGAGGGTCTGCTGCTGATTGGCTGGAATGTGTCTGCTGACTGTGAGGTACAGGGTCAAAGTTTACTCAATGATGAGTCCGCAGCGAACCGTTCGGGACATCACTAACCAGGGACTCTATAGACTGTAAGCTCGTGAGGAGGGTCCTCTTCGACCTATCGTTCTTGTAAGTTTTATTCTAACTGTCCTATTTATAGTTAAATCTCCCCTCTCATAATATTGTAAAGCGCTATGGAATCTGTTGGCGCAATATAAATGGCAATAGTAATAACAAAGTTGGAATAGCGGGAAATTACCCAAAAATTGGACTGTCCTAAAGGGTATCCCTGAGCCTCATACTCCTCTTCATCAAGTGTGCAGATGTAATGATCGTGGAAGCAGCAACTAAAGAGGAAAGAGACAGTCTTCTTAGACAGGTAACATTAAAATGTATAAAATAGGGAGAATAAAAGGACAGTAAAAAAAGCTTACATAATCCCTTTTAATAGTTGTATTTTATATTGAACACTGCATTGACTTGGCTTCTTTTAGAAAGAATAACAAAAAATCTGATTTGTTGCCAAAGTATCTGTCTGGCTCCCATAATCTACAAACCGTTGTCAACCCCTAATTTACTAATTGTATTTAGCTGACAGTCTGATTTTAGGGTATTCCTCCTGCCATTCTGCATCTGCCTCTGATATATATTACTTCATGATAAGTCTTTAATGTGTGTCTCTAACCTGCTCTGACTGCTTCCATGGTACAGTTCATTAAACAACACTTCTCTGCCATATGCTGTTCCTTTCTGCAATTAGTAGCTTTTTAATTTGGTGCATCCCAGTTACCATGTAATGAAATTAAATCCAGGATGTCTAAAGCAGTGGACAGAATGAGCAAACACTGGCAACATCATCGCACACTAGGCATGCCCATTATTGCCACCACCTACGTTTAGATTTCGCACTCTGTATCCAAGTGCAAATGGAATCTGTGTCCCTGCTGAATGTGCACACCACTGATTGTCCAGAGTTACTTGTCTGAGTGTAAGAGCAATGGAACAGCCAAATATTTATATAACTTGGCACCAGGTCGGGGATGTTGATCCAATGGAAAGAACAGATCATATAATAAAAACAGGTTTTGCAAGTTGTTCTGTTGATAATATTTGATAAGTGACCATTGTGTTTAAAGGGAAAGTTCTTCATAATCCCCTCCCCTTAAAGATGTATACAGGTATATGTTACTTTATTCTTTTTCACACTTTTGAAAAATATATTGTTAATTTTCTCTTATTAAATGGGCCCTGGGTGCTTGGGATGTTATTTTTCTATGCCTCAAACTAGTCACAAAATAAGACAGGTATACTGCACTCACAGAGCACTACTGCAGTGGTTGTGGTGCTTAGCGTGTCACTTTAAATTTAGGAATAGATTATCACATGTGTAATGTAGTATATATGCAATATGATTTGCTTATGAAAATGAAAGCCAGCACTTGGTTTATGATCTAGAAAGGAATAAAATAGTTGTTTAGATTGCACAGTACGCAGCACCTACATTTAGCATCTCCACGCTCTGATGAATGTTCCCCGTAGAGATGCATTCATTCAATTCATCTCTGAGGAGATGCTGATTGGCGCAGCATGGTATTTTGCCAAACATGCGCAATAGCCTCCCAATGCTCAAGATTGATGATCGCAGTCATGGAGACAGGGCCAGCTGTAGCAAGACCAGCACAGCGTGGTTGGAGGGAGGGTGGAAGGTGAGTAAAAACCCCTTACACGTGTGATTTGATGGGGGACCAGACACACTCACCCACTGACTCACCCACTGACTCACCCACTGACCCACACTCACATTCACTGTCACTGCAATAACAACACACATTAAGGTTACTACCCAGCCTCCCTACCTGGAGCTGGAGTGGTTCGGCTTTCCCTCGGGTCCAGTGGGGCTTCAGTCATCTCCCTGCTCTGCTCCACTGAGCGCTGTTTAGTGATGCCGGGGCCGGAATGATGTCATATTCCTGCTCCCACCATCACTGGAGGACGCGCAGGGGGGGGGATGTTGATGCTCCCTCACGCGCGTGCCAGTCTGTCTCAATCCTCCAGGAGCCTCCCGTCGGTCCGCACACCACAAGCTCTCCCAGATGGGTGGCCATCCGGCCGACCACATACCCATGCTCTTAATGAGCCGGCCAGCCGTCTCCACTCATAGGTGGCTGTATGGGCCAACAAATCCCAGGTGCAAGGACTAAAATCCCTGGGACTTTTTTTAAAAAAGCCAAACACAAGACACTACATATTTTTTTTTTTGACATTCTTTATTTAAGTTTTTCAATATTCAATCACAGCATGTATATCCAATATAAATTAACATGTGGTAACATATAAACTGGTCAGTTATGTGTATTACAGCATCAAGATAGTTTCATCTACTGGATAATAAATTGTATTTGAGTATTTGGCTTCATTATAACAGTGAGCGTTCTTTTGTGTTGTGTTCTGTCGTTAGCCCTGTATGGGGTTAGTCCCCTCTGTGGTCGGGTGCGAATGGAGTTTGTGGTTGCTCCACAAGATTCGTGCGAGTTTTCGGGTGGGTTGTTTCAACCGCTCTGTATTGTGCTCGTGGGTCAGAGGGGGAGTTGTACAACCCTGCATTGGTATCTGAGCTTCCTCATTTGTAGGTAGGACCCTAATAGAGAGGTTGGCTCAGTGCAAGGTTTCCCCTCACTTACTTATTGGGTCTAGTGTGACCTATGGTACTTAAGAGGTGTGGTAGTCTCCGTCTATGTGTGGTGCAGTTCGTCTTTGTCCCCAGCCTCGTACGTGGTGATTTGTTCGTGTTTCTAGTGCCAGGTTGATGGATATAGAGCTTTGTCCCAATCCGTGTTATGTCTGTCTACGTGTGTCCTTCTTTGGAGGGGTACCGTCTGGGGCTTTGTATGGGGGTCCAGTCTGGTTCGTGTTTGATTTGTGTGTTGGTTTAGGTCGTAATGAGCCTGGTGTGGATGGGCTCAGCCTTAAATCATGAGGGGGCCAATTATTCTGCCCCTGTGACCGTGTAGTTACCCCCTAGTTTCCCTGAGTCGATCTGTTTTAGGTTTTCCCTGGGGGTAGTTGGCCTAGGTTGTCCGTGGGCGCAGCTAGTATATGTAGGGTTATCCTGTGATGTCTTGTTCTGTCGTTGTGCGGTGTGTGGGGTCTGTGTCAGATGCCGTGTCGTCACCTCAGGCCCCTGGTTTGAGTCGCTCGTGCGGTGGGTGTGATCATATCATCCCTGGTGCCTGTAGCCTGGTCCCCGTGACTCTTCTGGATACCTAAGTCTAGGTTGTTATCTCTTATCTTGGGTCTCGCTGGGTTCGGTGTGTGTGTGGGGTTATATATGCCACCTGCGGCTGCCCCAGTTGTTAGTTGGCGTGGTCAGGGCCGGGTGCTACTGGCTCCGGTCGTGGCTTCTTGTGTCTGGGGTGGGGGTGAGTCCATGTTCCTTACGTCCCGGTCTCTCTCTTCCCTCCGTCCCCTAGTGTATTGGTCTATATGTCGCTCTAGTGGGTCACTCCTCCCCTCCCGTGACCCATGGTCCTCTGTCCCTGTCTCTGCTCACTCATAGATTCCACTTTGTGCGGAGCCTTAAGTCAGTCTGCGTGCCCCCGGGGGTTGTGTCCCTCCGGGTCTTTTGTGTGTCAATGTGTCATGTGGTAGGAGGGGTGGGGGGGGGGGTCGCGTAGGAAGTGTGTCTCCGTCGTGCTGAGGGTGCAATCTACTCGTCTGGTACTGCCTGTGTCTGTGCAGAGCTCTGTTGGGTGGGTTGTATTGGTGCGGGGGCGCCGTCCCTCTCCACCGGGTCACGTCCTCCTGCCCGTTTTGATGTGTAGTCCATCCATGGGTACCACACCAAAGCGCATTTTTCCTGGCGTCCCTGCAGGGAGGCTGTCATCATCTCCATGTTATATATCATCTCCACCCTATCTACCCATTGTTGCAGGGTTGGAATCGTCGAGCTTTTCCAATGGAGTGGGATGAGCGACTTCGCTGCCGTGAGTAGGTGTATGAGGATTCCTTTCTTGTAGATCTTCACCGGCGTGCGCGTGTGGTTGAGAAGTAGTGGCATGGGTTGGAATGGGACGTCTGAGCCCGTGATGTCTTTGGTCGTCTGATGTATCATCCTCCAGAACGGTTCGATACGTGGGCATGTCCACCAGATGTGAATGCTGGTTCCTATTCCTGTGCCGCATCTCCAGCATTCGTTTGAAATTGACTCATGTACGTGCTGCAGGATATCTGGCGTCCGGTACCATCCTGTTAGAATTTTGTAGTTGCATTCTTGGAACTTGGAGCTGATGGTCCCCCTGTGTGTTAGTTGAAAGATTTTAAGCCATTCCTTTTCCGTAAGTTCCATCCCGGTCTCTCTTTCCCATCGCGATGTGAAGCCTAGGGGGCTCTTATCACCGTCGCTTAGCAGCGCGGTATAAAGGTGTGAAACTCCATGTGAGAGATGTTGTCTGGCCGTGCATAGATGTTCCATCATCAGCAATGGGCGGTGTAGGTGGCCTTTACACGCAATGCCGTCGAGGTATGTTTTCACTTGGTGATATCGGAATGTGTCTAGGCCACTGGGCCTACGGTCCTGCATCAGCGTTGCCAGGGGTTTGAGCGTCGTCCCGGAATTCCATTGGCTAGCGTATACCCAGTCCGTTGCTCCGAGATTTTTCAGGTCTGCCGTGCTTAGCCCTCCCGCTAACCTCGGGTTGTGTGTTATTGGTGTGAGTGGGTTGGGCGATGACGTGAGGTTTTTGGAGTAGCGTATCCTACACCACACCTTCAGCGTGGCGTCGATCATTGGGTTCCCGGTAAGTAGTTCCTTGGGTAGTGCGTCTCCCAGCCATAGCATAGCGGGGATTCGTCCCTGGGCTTGGTGTTTCTCCAGGTCTACCCATTGCTTTGTACTGGGGTTTGCATGCCAATCAACCAGTCTGTGCAGATGGGTAGCGTGGTAATACGTGAGGATGGACGGCAATCCCATACCTCCTTCTCCTCTAGGGCGTTCAAGAATCGCTCTTCGGATACGCGCTGGTTTTTGGTTCCAGACGAAGTTCTTGACTGCGGTCGTCAGGGTCTGAAAAAATGCCCTCGGGAGGTACGTTGGTAGTGTCTGGAACATGTATAATAATCTGGGCATAATGTTCATCTTCACGGCACTGATGCGCCCAAACCACGAGATGTATAGAGGTGTCCAGCGTTTCATGTCTTGCTGTAGGGTGGTGAGCAGGGGCGCAAAGTTCAGTCGGTAGATAAGTGTCAAATCTCTCGGGAGCCACACCCCAAGGTAGTGTAGCTTGGCTGTGGAGATCTTGAAGGGGAATTGTGCTTGGATGTGTCGTTGGAGGATGTTGTCCTGTGCGAGCAGCAATATCTCTGACTTATCTAGATTAAGCGTCAAGCCGGATACCTCCTTGTATTGTCGAAACGCCTCCAGGAGATGTGGGAGGGAGGTTCTGGGTTGCTCCAGGAAGAAGAGCATGTCGTCAGCGTAAGCCGCTACCCGGTGTTCTCTTCCTCCTATGCTGCACCCCGTGATACCCCTGTCCTGTCTGACCGCCTCCAAGAAGGGCTCCAGGGTGAGGGCAAACAGGAGTGGGGACAGGGGGCAACCCTGTCTCGTGCCGTTATGTATATCAAACGAGTCAGTCAGTGCTCCGTTTATTCTTATGCGGGCTGTGGGCGAGGTGTATAAAGCCGTTATCCAGGTCCGCAGGTGTGGACCGTATCCCAAATGTCGTAGGGTTTCCGACATATAGACCCAGTCCACCCTGTCAAACGCTTTTTCAGCGTCAGTGGATAGTAGGACCATTTCCTTTTTGCCCGTTTTAGCGGTATGGATGGTGTTGAGGGCTCGAATAGTGTTATCTCTGGCTTCTCTTCCGGGGATAAACCCCACTTGGTCCGGGTGCACCAGATCCGGGAGCGTTCGGGCCATCCTGAGTGCCAGAGCCTTAGCGAAGAGTTTGATGTCCGCGTTTATCAGAGAGATGGGCCTGTAGCTGGCGCAGATTGTTGGGTCTTTCCCCTCTTTGGGTATTATTGCCACGGTTGCTCCCAGGGTGTCTCTGTGGAATTGGCCTCCATCTCTGATTGAGTTGATGCCTATCAGAAGTTTGGGCAGCAGGGTGTCTTTGAAGGAGCGTAAGTACGAGACTGGTAGACCGTCTGGGCCCGGGGCCCTGTGTGCTTTAGTTGATTTCAATGCGCCAGATAGTTCCTCAATCGTCAAGGGCATTTCGAGTTCCGCCTCCTGGTCCGGGGTAAGCTGGCGGGTGATGTGGTTCTGAAGGTATGTGGTTATCCGTTCTCGATGGCTACCTATGTCTCTGTCGTGGTGGAGTCGTGGTTGGTTATATAACGCCGCGTAGTATTCCCGGAACGCTGACAGTATGCCGTCTGGGAGGCAGGTTGTGTCTCCACTGCTCGTGCGTATCTTGTGAACGTGTTGCGCTTTCCTTCTGTCTTGTAGCATCCTAGCTAGCAACCTACCACTTTTGTTCGAGTGTTCATAATAATACCTGGAGGCCTTCCTCGCGGTGTGTAAGAGTCCTTGTGATAGTATGGCTTTCAGCTCCCTTCGTGCTTCCGTCAGGCGGAGGTATGTGCTGTCTGCGAGGTCCGTCTTGTGTTCCCCTTCTAGGTCAGCTATCCGGTCTAGCAGTGTTGTGATACGTCGTGTTCGTTCCTTCTTGCGTTTGGTGCCTATGGCGATGAAATGTCCCCGTATGACGCATTTGTGGGCTTCCCATATCGTTAACGGTGGCGTCTCCGTATCTTCGTTGGTAGTAAAGTATTCAGTTAAGGTTTGGGCAGTCACCCTCTTACACTCTGCATCGTCCAGTAGGGATTCATTCAGTTTCCAGTGTCTTTCGCGGGGTTTATATAGTGGGGAGCTCGTGCGGATCGTCAGTGGTGCATGGTCTGTGTGGTCCATTATGCCTATTCGTGCGTCGTGGAGGAGGTTGAGGTATTCCTGGGCCAGGAATATATAGTCTATGCGACTGTAGTTTTTATGGACTGTCGAATAATGGGTGTAGTCTCTACCTTCAAGGTTACATGCCCTCCAACAATCCACCAGGCCGTGTTTATGTATAGCTCGTAGTGCTGCTCGTATGCAGTGTGCTGGGATCGCGGTTTGTCCTCTGGAGGTGTCCGTGCGGGGGTCCAGTGGTAAGTTGAGGTCACCTGCCATGACCAAGAGGCCGTCTCTGAATTTCTCCAGTTTGGCTAGCGTCCGGGCCAGGAATGTATGCTGCTTTCTATTCGGGCCGTAGAGGCATGCGAAGGTATACGTGTGTTCCATGATTGTACCCTTAATGAAAAGGAATCTGCCGTTCGGGTCCGCCTGCGTTGCTATATGTTGGAACGGCGTCGTCTGTGCAAAGAGTATTGCCACACCAGCCCTCTTAGCGTCCGGATGGTTCGCGTAGAATCCCTGCGGGTAGCGTCTGTTCTCTAGTTTGGGGGCGTCCAGTCCTCGGAGATGAGTCTCCTGCAGGAACGCCACGGAGGCTCTCACGGCCCATAGGCGCCTTACCAGGTGCGCGCGCTTTTCAGGTGTGTTAAGCCCCTGAACATTATTGGACCAGTATGTCAGTTGGGCCGGGACAAATCCTCGCGAGGCGTCCATCCCGGCGGCAGGGCGGCGTCCCCGCAGCGTTGTCTGTATGATGTAAAGGTGGTGAGTGTGGGGGGGGTCTGTCTGTCTGTGGTGGTGATGTGAACGGTCTGGCGTGTCTTCTAGGTGTGCGGGTGTGACTCTGACCCTGTACCGGGTGTATTCGTTCTCGAGCCTGGTGGGTAACCTCAGCGACGAGAACGCCGGTGTAATGTACAGTGTGGGTCTGTCTCAGTGGGGGTTCCGTATGGTCACTTACAGTGAAGTCGGTCTCGGATCTGAGTGAGGTTGGTTCTCTCCCTTCTCCATCGGCACCCAACCTGTAAGGGTGTGTGCAATCGCCATGTTTGCCTACTCTAGCCTAGGGGTCCGCAATAGTCGCCCGGGACTTAGAGTGTCGGTCGGGCTGTGGTGTCCTGTACCGCAGTCCCGAGGTCTGGGAGCGGATAAGCCTACCGGTCCAGTCGGCATTATGGTCAGTGGTACCCGTGGGTCCCCCCGTCACGGTCGGCTCTCCTGGCGTCCCGGTCCTAGTGGCCGGGTGTTGTCAGGGGATTCGACTGGTTTTGTCTGCCGGACATCCCGGGGCCCTCCGTGTCTGCCCTTCCCCGCCTGGTAACTTACAGTTCGTTGGCAACAAGTCAGCGTGTCTAGGGTGTTAGGGCGCTGTTTGGGGGTAGTTAGTCCTACATGTGTTGGGCTGCATTGTGAGGCCACCCTGTGGGCGTGGCACGCCAGCTCCCACGTTTGCGTCCCTTCAGAGGGGCTGGTTTGGGACGTGGTCTCTCCCTGCGCCCAGAGTTTTCGTCATGATAGTTATCTGCGTGCCTGGGCTTTCGTAGTGGGGTGTACCAACATGGCGTCTTGCTTGTCTCAGTGAGGCAGATTGTGCGTGGTTGTCCCCTCATGTGAGTGGCTGTGATGTGTGTTGGGTGATATAAACGGAACCGTGTATAACTAAACAACATGAACAAGAAGTGCCCAGCTTTGTCCCAGCCCCCCTCCCAGCTCTAGCCCTGTGTGCCCGCATGTCCCGTAGCCCTCACCCTCCCGCATCCCCCCCTCAGCTCTGTTCCGTGAGCAGCGGTGTGCTAGAGCAGCCTGTTCAGTTCAGCAGTCTTGACCCAGGGTGTGACCTGGGTGATGGTGTCGGTGTCCAGACCCTTTGTACCCTGCCCATCATCCCCTCCCCACCTACGGGGTATGTCCCCCTTTTTGCCCCGGGTGTGTGGGTTTGCTGATGGGGCCCTAGCCCCCGGCCGCTCCCCGAAAGTGGCTTCAGTTCCCTCCCCACCTGTCTGCGGCCTTCCTCCCTGTCTACTAGCTAATGCAAGCTGGCAGCGGACTTAAAAGTACATACCCCTGCCGTGGTGTCATCGGATCTGCATGGCGTCCATAATCAATGCTGGGGTAAGCTCGGGAGGCAATGCCCTGATCTGGCATGGGATGTCTCATGGGGGGCCACTGGTCCGTGCGGCGTGGGGGCCTCTATTCCTCAGGGCCTATTGGGCCTCCTCTGCGTCTTGGTGGTCCAGGCTCCAGGTGGATGTTGTGAGCCACTTCAGATGGGCCTGTGGCTCGCGCCGGGGGTCCCTCCAGGATCCAGTTTGGCACTGAGATAGCAGGTAAGTTGGCGGTTCTTAAAAACCGTGGCACGTCGTTCGGCCAGCGGATGATGTGCCATACGTTTCCCATCCGGGCCTGCAGGCTGAATGGAAATCCCCATTTGTATGGAATTCGTCGCTCCTGAAGTGCTCGGGTGAGAGGCCGCAGGGCCCTGCGGGCATCTAGGGTGATGGTAGATAAGTCCTGGTAAAGGGATATTTGTGCTTCCATGTAGGTGATGTGCTGCCCGCATTATAGATTCTTTTAGCGGGAATGACAGGAGGGCGCAAATCATGTCTCTTGGCTGCCCGTCTCTTCTGGGGGCGCGGAGTGCCCTGTGGGCCCTTTCGATGCCGAAGTCGCCAGGAGCTGCATCTCCTAGTAGTTGCGCAAATAGGCCATTCAGGATCTCCTGCGGTACCTCGTCCTTGGATTCAGGCAGGCCTCTGACTCTGATGTTGTTACGCCGGCCGCGGTTATCGAGATCCTCAACCTGCCGGCGGAGGTCCAGGAGGATGTTGCCCTGCCTCGTGGTTGCCAGTTCCGCTGCCTGTCTGTGCTGCTGGGATTGTATGCGCTCCTCTTCCAACCTGTCTACTCGCTGCTCCAGCGCCGTGAGGTCGGTGCGCACAGCCGCTATTTCCTCCCTTATTATGGCCCTCAGCTCAGCCACCATTTCTCCTTTATCCTTCCGGGTCATCATGCTCGCGGAGATCGCGGCGAGGTCCGCGGATATTTGGGACAGGGTGCCAGGGGTGCTGGATTCCCGCGCCGAGCCCGCTATGCTGGAGCCCGGGGAATCGAGGGCCGGTGTTCCGGTCTCGCCCGTGTCGCGGAGGCCATGCGGCGTGGCCAGGAACTCGTCCATTGGGCCGGCTGGCGGTCGGGAGGGGGCCGGAGTGACCTGGGCTGCGGTAGGTAGCCGTCGATTTTTTCCCCCCCATGGAGGTGCGCTTTCTGCGGCGTTGCTGTGCTGGTTAATCGGGGCAAATCAGGTTGGGGCCTAGGAGCTCGGAATGAGTGCGTCCTACTCCATTGACTGTTAGGCCACGCCCCCTACATATTTTTTAATATATATTGTTACTTAGGCCATGTCCTTGTAGGTATATATTTTGTCAAGGCCTTTACCTTGCATGTAAATAATGTTGTAACTGTTAACAGAATTACAACTAACTCATAATACTTTGTACAGTGTGGCAATGCATGTAACGAGCTGCAGCTTTTGGGTTGCCGTCATTGTTCTGAAGACTTTTAAGAGCAAATTAAAGTAAATGAATGAGACCTTGGTAGCCGTCTAATTGGGAGGTAGTAGAGCCTTGTTTTTAGAAAAAATGTCAACCTTTTGATTTCTCAGAAATGGCAATGTTTCATCTATGCACCAAAGGACTACATTAAGATGAAGTGGTTTTGGTGCTTAGTGTCCAGTTAACCTCAGAGTAGAAGCAATAGGATGTTTTCTTTATTTTCAGTCGTGTGTCATTATAAGGTAAAAGGGTTGGCTACTCCAGATGCATTCTTTTTGTCATGCACTTAGAAAAAATGTGCAAAAACAGTCAGTCCAAAATAATAAAGTACTGTTGGTGTTCGGTGTCGCTGCCTTTTCAATACTACCCTATACTTCACATGTATTGCTATTAGCAGTGCCCAGAACAGAAAGTGGTCAGCCAATTGGAGTGCTCCAATTTTTTTTCTTGAATTAATGGAATTGTCTGTAGTTTGTTGCATATATCCTTGCACAGCAGGGTGTTCTCTTTAGAATGAGAGCACAGGCAGTAGCTGGATTTGAACTATAAGAAGGCACATGTCTGTATCTGTTGTCTCTGTTAATGTGCCTGAGCTTTCACATCCTGTGCAGTGATTCTGTAACCACCAAGGAGGAAGTATTTTAGAATCGTGAAGTGGAGGAGGCAGTATTAAGATGTCATATGCAAAAATATAATTCATTATTTGGGTCATAAACCATGTGTTCCAAAAAACTATGTTGGTGCACAAAGGTTTAAGTTTAAACAATGATGCTTTCTCTAAAGCTAAACATGGTCTATTTAATCTATATATAATATAGACTTGTTTGCACTTCAGTTTTATTTATTTATTTATTTATTTTTTTAATTTAAATGTTTTTATTTCTCGTGTACAAGGAAATGGGGTATTTATTTTGTTTTGATGATCTAAAAATGACTTCCTTTTCTGACCACTTTTAAAGAAATTTTTTTTACCTCCTTAAAAGGACACTATAGTAACCAGTACAACTACAGTTTATTGCAGTTGTTCCGGTGAGAATTGGCAATCCCTTTAGGCTATTTTTGCAGTAAACAGAGAAAAGGCAGTGTTTACATCACAGTCTAGGGACTTCTCCAGTGGCCACACTTCAAATGGCTACTAGAAGTGCTTCCTGGAGACACTGAACCGCTAATTGGCCAGGGTAGTGTTTGGCTCTGCTCACCGAACCACCTCCCTTGCTTAGATCTTCAGAATTGACAATCTCCTATTGATTGGCTGAAATAATCACTTCTGATGATGTCAGCTGAGGAGACAGATCAGGGGCATAGCCAACACCAGCAGACTAGAATAAAGGTAAAACTTTACTATATTTAAAGGTGGGATAGATAGTGATTTTAACACTATAGGGTCAGGAATACATGTTCGTGTTCCTGACCCTGTAGTGTTCCTTTAAGGAAGGAGTCAATTGTCCAAGTTGTGAACCAAAACAAAATCTAGAATTTGAGCTATATGTCTGTTCAACCATAATTACCTCTTTCCTATTGGGTCCAACCACACTTGTATATAATTTTGTTGAGGAGGAACTGGGCTTTTCAAATATTTATATCAAATATGAATGAAATCTAAAAAAATAGGATAGGGGCTTGACCACTAAGTAGAGCAGACGCATATTGATACAGCTCCTGCACTTATCGCAGTTGATGCATCCCAGCGACTGAGGGTCATTTTTTAAACGATGAAGACTTTTTGGTGGTCATGATGATACCATGTTAGCTGACCCTTCGAATAGAATTGCTCAGACATACCTCACAGCCTACAAGCATGGCTGGCACAGGAGAGGTGGCTTATCTCTTGTTGCCATTACAGACTGGGGGTTTCAAATCCACTTTTTTCAGGTTCTGCATGACATTTCAATTGGGAATGTCTTCATACTATTCGCGCTTATTGCAACTCAAATATTTGTAAGCTGCGATGTCCCACAATTACAGCAGTGTCCCAAATGTACAGGATTTATGTTGTTTTGGAAAGTTGCAGAGTGAAATAAAGTGCTTTCCCATTTCAGTTTTTACACACTGAAATTTGCCTGATTGGTTTGCTGGACTTTTGTTGCCTTTGAGACCGTTTGGGAGCCCAGGAATGAAAAGTAACCCCATTTGGAATAGCATTTGGGAAATTAGACAACCAAGGGTATTTAAATTGGGGTATATCCAGTCTTTTTTAGTGGCCACTTAGTCACAAACCCTAGTCAGGCTTAGTGTTCATATTTGTTGTGTTTTTTTTTTTTTAAATATACACACAATCTGCACTTTCACTGATATCATTGTCATGTTTTACTGCTCTAAAACACTTGTGTGTTCAGTGATGCCTCACGAGTTCAACAGTACACCTGATGTACATGTTTATTGGATTCTGGAAAGTTACTGTGTCACATATAGAGCTTAGAAATAAATTCTCTGGAATTTCTGCCTTGGTTGTCAGGCAGGTCTTCCCCCAATATTATATATACGATGACACCGCGATCACTTGACTCAGATCAGCTTGATTGGCAGCAGGGGGCTGTGTGTTATACACACAGCCCCCTGCTGCCAATCAAGCTGATCTGAGTCAAGTGATCGCTGTGTCATCATGATCACATCACATGGATTGGCTGCACCATGGAGGGAGAGGCCGATCGTTAGGGTGCACGTTGCGGGAAAGTGGGCATACTGCATTTGTTGCTCTGTAATTCTTTTGGGGAGAGGGATGGGTGGATTGTTTTGTTTTTAGTTCCTATATTTTATACATATGTGCAAACTCTAACTGCCTTCTAGAACCTGTGATTAAAGTTCAATTTACAAAGCAGAAGATAAAAACTTTCAAAGTAAATTACATTTTCAATATTGTAAATATTGCGGAATAAGTTTGTAATTGCCAGTAATACAAATTATGAATCTGGAAGTAATCTGTTGGACCACTTAGTATTTTTGAATTGACTCGTAGTTCTCATCGTGGATATTTATTTTCTCTTGCAGTTTTCATATATGGAATCTGGTTTTATGATAAAGAAGAATGCCAAAGGATTGCCGAGCTCATGAAGAAGTAAGTATCCTAAACCAGGGCTCAACAAATCCCAGTTGCCATGGTGACCAGGAATTTTTCCTGGCGCCTGGGATTTGTGAGACCGTTCCCTCTGAGGCAGGCAGCTTAGTGTACAGTAGGCAGGCGGCAATGGAGCGGTGATCTCCCTGCTCTGCTTCCTCGTGCCGCTTAGTAATGCCGGGGACAAAGTGACGTCTTATTCCAATCCCCGGCATCACTCAGCGGTGCACACGGGGGAGCAGAGTAGAGAGATCACAGTTCCCTCGCCGCCTGCCTACAGTACACTCGGCCGCCCACTGGATCCCAGGAAAAGCTGATCCATTCCAGCTGTTCCAAAGGTAGAGAGGCTGGGTGGACTTAGATTGAATTAAAACATTTTATAATTTTTATTTATTTTTTATTTTTTATTATTAATAACATTTTATAATTTGTGAGTGTTTAAGTGTCTGTCTTTCTGTCATGGTGGGTGTGTGTCTAGGTGACCTGACCCCTCCGATCACATAGGAATAACATTTATGCACCTTTTTTTCCCACATCGTGCTGGCCACCCTCTATGGCTGAGATCAAGTTTGATGATCTCAGCTTTTCCAGTGCTTTGCCATAGGAAAGTATTGGGAAGCTATTGCGCATGTGCTGCAAAAGGCTGCACTAATCAGCATCTCCTCATAGAGCAGGGCGTGGAGACACTAAATGTAGGTTTTGCACACTGCCACTTAGGTATGCTGGGACCGGAGTGACATCCTATTGCAGCCCCGGCATCACTAAGCAGCGTACACGAAGGAGCAGAGTAGGGAGATCACAGCTCCCTCGCCTGCCTACAGTATGCATAGCAGGCCGACTCCACTATTCCCCAACTGGCTAACCCCCCATGGAAAGATGATCCACTCAAACTCTCCCAAAGGTAGAGAGGCTGGGTGCACTTAAAACATTCATTTGTGTGTGTGTCTCTCTCTGGCCCTGCCTCTGTGGCTGAGATAATCAAGCTTGATGATCTCAGCCAATCCAGTGCTTTCCCATAGGAAAGTATTAGGAAGCTTTTACGCATGTGCAGCAAAACACTGCCAATTAGCATCTCCTCATAGAGATGCATTGAATCAATGCATCTCTATGGGGAAAGTTCAGTTCCTCCATGCAGGTAGTGGAGACACTGAATGTAGGTGCTGCACACTGTGCAGCATTGAGATAGGAAGCAGTTTAGTGGCTATCTGAGAGAATGTTACTAGAGGTGTTACTAGGCAGCAATGTAAACACTGCTTTTTCTAAGAAAAGGCAGTATTTACACTGGAAAGTCTGCAGGGACAGACAATGGACTCTAGCATCACTAACAGTAAGCTGAAGTGGTCCTAGTGACTAGTTTCCCTTTAAAACTTATATTGTTGTTGGTCTTTGGGGGTCGTGGGGGGAAGCTTAAAAAAACCTTTGTAAGTTTACAAAAAAAAAAAACCTGTCTCCAAGATTCAAATAAAATTTGTCAAGCCCTGTCCTATGCATTGCCCTTAGCACAAAGATGTCTCTTCTGATTACTTCCACGATTATTGTTAGTTACTGAACAAGAAGTGTGCACCTGGAACACATCAAATCTTTAAAACCTTCTTAAAAGAGTAAAGGATATTGCTGTTTTGAGCATTTGTGATAAAGTGTTCTGAACATGCAGCATGTGGTGTGTACTGGAAACCTGGTTGTGTGTGTGAGTTTCTGTTTTTGTTTGTTAATTGTTAATTATAGCTGGAAAACATTTGTAGAGCTGTAGGTCATTTAATGTGGCCATGCCATCCATAAAAATGCTGTTAGGGCGGCATACAACCCCCAATGTTTTAACCCTCCCTCTATTCGGCCTCCCTTCCCAGAGCCAATGATGGCAATTTGAGACGTGATTGCAGTGACAGTATGTTACCAAGATGACTGTTACAAATCATTGGCTGAGAATTGTAACATTGACCCTCTCTTTTCATTACATTGATATGTGGCAATAGAGGGAGAGGGATCATTGCTGTAAAAGTGTTAGAAAATGTAAAAAAAAAAAAAAAACCCTTTCTTTTTAACACTTACAGTGCTGATCACCGCAATAACCTTGTGATCAGTTCGATTAGGGTGATTAATTTATTTTTAACTTCTTCCCTACTTTCTGATAATTGTACTGTACAGTATATGTGCTGTACAGTATTGTATCAGTGTGGTTAGAGGGCTCTTTGATCAATCTGACATTTATGGGGGCTTATAACCCTTTTGTTGTTTGATCTGCAATCAGTAATTTAATGTGTGGGTTGGGTGTTAGTTAATCTGTGGGTATAAGTGGGGAACTGGGGTGTAGCTAGTGTGTATTAGTCAGATAGGCGAATTAATTAGTTTCTCATCCTTTGTGACATAGTTTAAATGAATCCCAAACAAATATCATGCTATTATATGACTGAGCAGGCGTACAACATTTTTTGCAGGCTTTGATAGTGACACTATCACAGCCTCTGACATTGAGCCCCTATGTGAGTCCCACTACCATCTAAGGTGCTTAGAACACCCCAAAGTGCCAAAGGAAAACTGGGTATCCCTAAACTTGACTCCCCTATAAAATACCCATATTCACAGCTACACCTATTCAATAACAGTATATGTTTGTGAGCCAATGAACTATTTTAGACTCTTTATGTCAAACATATTTGCGGTCACATACCAGTAGAAAACTTGTGGCACCCTACTTATGTCACAGAAATGAAACAATTTTGGCCTTTAACCCTAGTAGTGGGTATTGTGAAAAAGCCAAGTATCTTTGCAATATATAGTGTCAGGACAAGTAGATTTGGCTATTGCTTTGTTTCCTTTGTCAAGTAGATTAAAAAAAAAAAAACAACCCTGCCATGTTATACACTTTTGCTGGGAAGATGTCATCCGAAAACCCACTACATTATAATAGAAATTTTATATTGACCTTTTGGCAAACATATGCCTATCGCTTTACTAAATCTATATGTATAGAGCTCTGTAAACTAAATCTATATGTATAGAGCTCTGTAAACTAAATCTATATGTATAGAGCTCTGTAAACTAAATCTATATGTATAGAGCTCTGTAAACTAAATCTATATGTATAGAGCTCTGTAAACTAAATCTATATGTATAGAGCTCTGTAAACTAAATCTATATGTATAGAGCTCTGTAAACTTCCACCCAAACGATACCTGAGGTGATGACTTTTTCCCCTCAGTTATTGCATTTGTTTGTGACCCAAATTACGTGCCTGTGGCTAAATTTCACAGCAAACATGCAGTTTGTCTTTATAAAGTAACTTCAAAAAGCTCTTATCTTGACTGTCCCTGACACGTGTTCAGGGAAATGTAATGATGGGTTATTATAACTATCACTATATTCTCATGTCTGAGATTGATATATAGATATATATATATATATATAAAATCAATTTTATATTTCAAAAGATAATGTTCACACTTTTATCAGTGTGCTCTCTTCTCTTGAATGTGATCCAGCCCCTTTCTGCAAGTCATTTGAAGTGAGCGCACATTGGCTTCCATGAGTATTATACCCAAGAGTTTGCTTACTTATTTTTTTCATGCAAAAAAAGCTACATAAAGGAACAGTCCAAACCCCTAAAGCACTTTAGCTTGCTGAAATACTTTGTGTGAGGTGTGCTGATTTCAATAGAACATGACACTTTTTTCTGAATTAACCTGGTTACACCCCCTGGCTTTCAAGCAGATAACCAATCCTGTGACTTCTTGATTTGGTTAGCTAAGTGGAGCTAAACTCAAGGCACTGACAATTGAGCTGCACTGGGAAGTCTGTGATTGGACAGCCACAGAAATTCTGGGCGCTGTGACAAAGGGAGGGCTTCCAAAGGCAACAGACAAGAGGAATGTTAGCTGTTTTTAAATAAAATCACAAGTAAAGTCATGCCAGTTGGCATTGGGGTATATCTACTAAACAGTGATTTTAAAAAAAAAATTATTTTGTATTTGGGAAGTGGAGTGTCCATTTAAGTTCAAATGAGTTGTTTCAGGCGTTTGCTCATGGTTTTCAAATAGTATTGCGGAGGAGATCTTGGAAACATGGACAATGTATTTTGGTCTTCCCTTAATATCCTGGATGTACCTTTTTCACATGGTAATGGCTAACTAAATAATGATATATGATAAATAATTGGTAAAAACATATGAAAGGAGAATAATACCATAGAGGATCAGGAGACCTCATAATACATTATAAAAACATGTTTCACATTATTTGTTTGGATTCATGTTCATTTAATCTTTATGTAGCACTGGGTAATAAATATTCCAATGTGCGTGACATTGGTGGTAGATTGGACCCTTTATATCTCAGCACTGCACTGACAAGGAATGGTGTTATCCTCCATGAAGTATGGTGCTTGAAAACATGCATCGCTTTATGCTATCTTTTTTATTAATTTGTTTTAATTTTTTAAACATTCACTGTTATAAATTCAGCTGTGCACTATACAAAGTGAATTTCACGTTTTAGACAAAATCAGTGTCTTTGAGAAGTGCAAAATGGTGGAAAACAAGAAAAAAAGATCAAGATGTCATATTGCCTCATTAGATATCTAACTGGGTTTGTTGACAGCTCCTCTAAACTGGCTATCAAGATTGGATAGCTTGAATTTAATCATATACCATGGTATCTATCAGGGTTTTTATAGCATGCTATTTCTCTCTTGAAAATACCGGTTCTGTGCAGTATAACGTAATTTCTCATGTGCAGGTCCTGACCAAATGGTGATTTATCATTTTGTTTTGTTTATTTTTTTTTTGTAGCTGAAAAATGTTAACTGTTAAACCACAGATGCATGTGACTGATTATGTCTCCCACCAGCTCTCACGTTTTCAGTGCCCTTTCATTCATGATTAGATCAGTATGATAATGTCTAGCCACCATCTCCCCAAGCACACTGCTTGCCACAGGAAAACAACTGCACTCCTCTGCTTGAATGCTATATCCTTGCATTTCATTTCTGGCAGTAAAAAAAATGCATGTTTTAATATTTTGTAGAGGTTTGTACAGGGAGATTTGAGCCTTTTATCTATGCTTGGCAGAGTTTCAAGTTTCCTCTGTATTTAGTCTTTTTACATTTAACTGCTTTCTTTTAAGCTGAACAGCGCTACCTGCTGGATGAACGTTACAAATGCATGCGTTCTAGGTGTTTTTGAAGAAAGACTATACGCAACATAAACTTTTCATCTAATTGAATTGGTTATAGTGGCTGGAGTCACCTGCCATTATTCCTTCCATCAAAGACAATACAAACCACCGATGTAGTGAAAGAGTGGTAGGAAGACATATGCAGGCACTTTAAAAAAGGTGGCTTGCTTCGTTTTTATTATTTAGATGACATGATGATTAGTCAATCAGGTGCTTACTGGGAGATATTTTCAATGCAAATGATACACTAAATATGAGTGCAAATACTTTAGTAAAAATAGAAATTAGCAGTTCATGCAATTGTTAATATAGCAAAATTCTGCTGATCTTATAGATTGTGACACTAAAAAAAAAATCTGTATATATGTTTTCTGTGTGTGTGTGTGTGTGTGTGTTGTATGTATGTATATATGTATGTATGTGTGTGTGTGTGTGTGTGTGTGTGTGTGTGTGTATATATATATATATATATATATATATATATATATATATATATATATATATGTGTGATAAAAAAAAAAAAAACCCAAACAGAACAGTTTGGGGCACAAGTTGGAGAATACCTCCTTTTTTGAGTGTTTAGGCATACCTTTTGCATTCTCTATTGTTTGGATAATATATTTTTCATACATTTTAAAGGAACACTATAGTGTCCCTCTGCATCCGTGGCCACCCCAGACATGTATAGGGTTAAATGACCCTTTAAACAATTACCTGCTTCCAGAGCCAATGTCCCTCTGCGCTTGGTTGGGCTCCTCCTCTGATGTCAGCCAATTGGAGAATCTAATGCTCATGTGTGTCAAGCACCGCGAGCATTAGGCCTTTCCCCGTAGTGCACATTGACTCAATACTTTTCTATGGGGTTTTTCTACACACTGGATGTCCTCATTAGGATGTCCAGTATCATTTCATGGAGTCAAATACAGTGAAATTGCAGGATGCGCATCTAGTGGCTGTATGGTAGACAGTCACTAGAGGCAGTCTAAACACAGCAATGTACGCAACAGACACAGCAGCCATTGAGATGTAGTGCTCTGGATCCCTATAGTGTCCCTTTAATGCTCAAATTGCATACTAAATCAAGGATACTCTATTGGAGTGTACTGTCTCGAAAATAATTATACAAACATATAAACACAAATTCGAATCTGGGTCCAAGTGCTGTGGACTACATCTACACAGTCGGAAATTAATGGGAGATGTGGACGGCATCACAAATGGCAGACATTATTTAGGTTTGGTGTAGAACATTGTGAGTGTTTGTGCATGTTGTAATGATTTAACTTCCTCTTGTTTAGTCTAACCCAGCAAGAGCAGCTGAAAGCACAGCAAGGAGACCCCAGCGGAATATCCCCAATGTCCCTCAACTTAGCAGACACAAAGGAGGTGGACATCCTGCAAATGCTAACGAAAGCCAAGGATGAATATACAAAAGTAAGCAGAAAGAACGTTTGTAATCTAGGATCCACAAATCCTTCTGTATGTCATTTATATATCATGATATTTTAAATTGGTTAGCAACCAGACTGCAGAGAACAAAGAGAATACAGTATTATATATTCAGATTTATTTCCTGTATTATAGTGGTGAACCAGTTTTCCTTCATAAATATGTGTATTGTATTGATTAACCCTTGCTCTTAAATTAAACCCTTTTCAGTGCAATTAAAAAAACATTGTAAAAAGTTAAGTTTTGAAATGGAACACAAAGCATCTTAACATTCCATCTACAGAAACAAAGAGTGGCACGCGATATGCATGAACAGAGTATTACAGTGTCAACAGAGATACACACACACAGAGATACAAGACACGCAAACACAGGAACTGACAGATATCTCAAATAACAGATAGGTCTTCGATGTTTTCAACATTGATTTGCCTATCTTGGTACACACAAAGGAAACACGCAAAAAGAGGAAGCTCACTGCACTATCATATGGTGGAGTAAAAGAGACAGCTGTTACTGACAAGCAAATACAAGAGACACCTGTGAATATGCTTTGCACTCTCACCAGTTGTGTGTTTAAGTTTGGTGCTCCCCTAAGCCCAATAAGTATGGTATTTTTTTTACTTTTCATCTTTTGAATGAAATATCTACTTCTGCATCTGTTTGAATGTACACTCCCTAACTGGCACATATACTCACAAACTGCCATTGACTTGTGTACTCACTCCCTCTGGCATACACAAACTCACTTGCTATAGAAACACATATAGAACACTTAACTATTAGACAAGATCCACCATGTGGCAAATGAACTGCATGAGATGGTAGGAATTGGTATACATGGGGGCTATCCCGGTGCATTCAGGGTTGCTTAAACCTGTCCAAACAGCACATTGAGGTTAACATGGTACTCACTGAGAATTCACCTGTTGTGTGCTTGGCACTCTGTAGGAGATGTTGCTTGGCTAGCGGGTTTAATCCTTGCTTCTTTCAAGTGTTTTGAGGAAGAGGAAGAATCAGAAGGTATTCCAGCAAGGAACCAGAATGGGCATATTAAAAATGTGGGACCGCAGCTGAATTTTTTTGAGGAGGATTTAAAAGTAAAATAGTGAAACATTTTGTTACCTGAGATAATATAACCACACGGTATTATAAGATTTGAAACATCACACAATGTTTTTTTTGTTTTGTTTTTTAAACACAATCCTTTTATGTCAACCAAAAGCCTTGCTCTTCTGAGTTTACTATGGTTGGTCAACTTACCTTCTGCCTATGAAGCATACACGCAGATGACACCAATGACACCTGCAGTCCAATACAAAATATATTCATACATACATACCCACCCAGCTGAATACTTAAAAATCTACAGACAAAAGACAAAATGGCACCTAGGTTAACATTTTCAAGTAGAATCATGCCTTTTATATCATGCCTAATGCCTTGTACCATGTAATTACAGGAAAAGAGAGGAAAAAGAGCGTGTCTTCCACTTATGGGTATGCTGACCAAGTGGAGTGAGGTGGTGTATATACCCATAAGAGGGACATATGTTCGTTTTCCACCCTTTTTCTGTTAGTGTATAGTATACATACAAGTAGTGATTCTACTTGACAATATTTATTGTATGAGCCGTTTTGTCTTCTGTCACTTTTTATGTCTGTGGATTTTTGGCTTTAAGTATTTGGTTTAATGGATTGGGAGGACTTCTCTTAGAAACAGACTGTAGGAAAAAGGGTAAATTACTGTTTTATCTCCTTTTTTTTTTTCTTTTTTTTTTCCCTAACCTTTTATTTTTTAAGAGCTATATAATTGTGTTCTTTGGTTTGTTTATACCCAGCTGAATGCACTAATAGGTAGATGCAAGAGACAATGAAAATAGGTGCTGGCTCACATTTAAAGAGTACACAGACAGTCAGGGCAAAGCACTGGCAGAGAAGTACAAGAAGAACATGTAGTGATTTCAGTCTTTTCGCTTATCAGACACACAGGTCACATCAGGTTTCAGCTTTACTGCCTCAAATAATGTAGTAGTATAGCTTTTGCCAAAATAACACAGATGCTGTATTTTAATTTTGTGCTGCAGTATTGTTTGTATATTTCAAATGAACTTTTGTTTCTCGGCACTCTTCGATGACCCACCAGTAATATCTGAGCACTAGGCCAGAGACATTCAAAAACTCAGAAGTGTAGACCAATAGGCAGCCATGCCAGACAGTCTGGTTTTGATTTTTAAAGGAATGCTTTAGGCACTGCAACTTCTACATCTTGTTGAATTGGTTATAGAGTCTGGAGTTCCATGTCTTTATCTTTCAATTCATCAGTAAACCATTTTTAATTTTTTAATGATATACAAGAGTCCTCAGCAGCCCATCTTCCATGTCCTGCTTTGGCTAATTATGAAGCACTAGTCTGAGCAGCATTCATTGCCTTAGCATACCTTGTCATACCTCCCAAAGGGGAGGGACAGGGGCTCACATTCAATATTACACTGCTTGAAAATGCTTTAACACTGAATGGAGAGACAGTACCCAGGGTACTCCAGGCACTATAACCAATTTAATGAGATTAGTTATATTTCCTACAGTGTCAGCTTTAAGTATTCCTTAATGATAATCCATGACTGTATGCACACATTGGCCAACACAAATTCTTTCTTCTTGTCCATGCTTCTGTTTTTAGTGTAAACCATCTTCTGAGCCGAAGCTGATAAGCAGCTCCTCTGCCATCTACAGCAACCCCAATCTTATCAAACCTATTGCGGTCAAACCTACTGAGACACAGCTACAACCAGCAGGCATAACTTCAGGCACGGTGAGAAATGACTTTATATGAATTGGCTTGGACATTGCTCTGCAGATGATGTGGATGATGACCTTCATTCAGTTTAGCCAGCCATTTGATTGGTTGAAGATCATGAGCAATGTATGGGCTGCAGTGCGACAGCTTCTAAATCAGTAAATACATTTTTCCGGGGTGGCATATTTGTAAAGCTGGGCAACTACTTCCACCTTGTATTCACAGAATTTAATAATGTAGAGATCAAATGTAGACATGGATATATTGGCATTATCATTTACATAGCAGGCAGACTCATATTGTCACAGAGGAGTGGGCAGAATTTCTCGAACTCTTTCTCTCTCCCCCTCTTGCTCTCTCTTTCTATATAGTGTAGATTGGATTAGCCATATTAGTCCAGTAGACAAGATGTAAAAATACCAGAGTATTGCAGTATGCAATGGTACCTTTTTTATTGGACTAACATAATATTTCAAACACAAGCTTTCAATACTGATCTATCTATATATATATTATTATTTTTTTATTATTTTAAAAAAACTGTGCTTGAAACGTAACTTGCAGGATAGATATGTTCTCTCTGTATTTTACATATTAACATCTGTGTACTTTCTAATCTACATAAGGAGAAGGCACAAATTGATCTATTAGTTTACTCCCTCAGCTTAGTGACCTGGAACCTCAGCATCTATCTCTCACCACTCTGTTTGGGAAGCCAGACAAAGCCCAAGAAGGAAGAGCACAAAATAAGGAGCATTCTACTGTGCGTCACACAGTAGTACGTTCACTGTCCTATGAGGAGCCCTCTCGTGTAGCTGAGAGATGTGAGAATCAGCTATGCCCTGCAATCCAAAAACTTATGGTGAGAGGTCCTGGTCTGCACCCTGTCTCTGAGATTCCTGAAAACAGACAATCCCACAATGGCAACTTCCAACCCGGGGGCAGCATACTCACTGGTCTTTTCCAACAGGTAGCACCCAATACCTCTTTCTCTATTCTGGACCATGAGAGTGGGGAAAGCATTTTACATACGCTTCATAGTGCACAATCAACTTTGCCCAAATCAGACTTGGGGCCTCATCCTCCTTCACATTGTTTTAGTGGAGTAATGCCATCCCCCTCTGGCAAGGATACAATACCTTCATTGATCAACTATTATGACTGCTCTCTGCAAAGCCAAAGGACTTCAACTTCAGTGCCTCAATTACCTCTCGCCTCCCAGCATCCCCCAGCTGGAACCATCTCGCCTCAAGAACTTCTGAGAAAACTTCATCTTGTGCGTCAGGAACAGCAGCTACCCTCCAGCTCCAGACCTGCCCTTGCAGCAAAATTTCCTGTGATTCCCCAGAGTGGCCCAAAGCCTACCTATGATGATAAAATACCTGGAACAATGGCAGCTAAACCAAACACATTGCTTCAGGTAGTATATATATATATATATATATAACAGATTATTAAATGTTAATTTATCATTTCTGATCAAGAGACCCATCTACATGTCTCTGTATCAGTCCAATGAATCTTAGGCTAATGTGGTTTTTTGGTGTTCCATTAGCAGGTCATTTCTCCTCAGCGTATCCCTGCCACGGTCTCACCAGCACTACTAATGTCTCCTACGGTATTTTCACAACCAAATCTTCACAAAGCAACCAATACCACAAAAGCAACAATTCCTGTCAAAGAGACGTTGTATGAATCATCCAGACTCCTCCTCCCATTGTTACTGCCAGATGCTCCAGCCTGTAGCAGTGGTACTGGAACTCAGAGTACCATTCTGACTAAGCACCAGCTCCAGGGGACCCTGCTACATTTAATCCAGGTGAGAACCTCAGTTCTTCTTAATACTGTAGCAAAATAATTATATATTTAGGAATAAAATTTATAGAAATTGTTTTCACTTGCTCCCCAACAATGAATCTGTTTTCCTAGAAGAGAGAGAATACAAACTTTGCAACATACATATTTAAATCCAGTTGCATCCAAAATACAAACACACACATTTTGTGTGAATTAACATTTTCTAGACCCCCCCTTTCCGCAAGTGAACACCAATATTTTAAAGGCGAAGCACAATGATCACTACACCTAATGGTTGCTTGGAGACTACTGGTGAAGGCCTTCCAGTTTTTCCAAACCATTATCAGTTGGTTTCACACACAAAAAACCAAAGTTTCCAGCATCATTTGTGCACTCTACTGAAGACTACATTATAAGAAGGTTCACACACTGTTCTCAAGTTATGCAACTAGAAGCTATGGGAACCTTTATATAAGAATGTGGCCACTCTGTATCCTTCTCTTTCAGAGGACCAAATTGATGGTAATTTTTGCTGCCGCCATATTGGGTTAATTTTATAATGGCCTCTGACAGGAGGGGGTGGGCATACAGTGACTGGGACCCCATAACCCTGGGTTTTTGGCAAACCAAGAAAATAACATAACTTCATAACACTAACTTCTGCAGCTTTTTGTTATGAAGCTGTAGTGTTTGTGGTGCTTGGAATGCCCATTCAACTAAAGTAACCGGTCTTCATATGGGGAGCTTTGTACAGTTCCAGACTTGTTTACCCACACACCTATCTGTCAGGGTTCCTTCAAATTTCCACTCTCCACTACCGAATAATTATTATGGCGTGATTTGCATAGAACTTGAAATTTTAAACCTTGAGTGTGTGTATATGTACATATGTGAATTTGCCAACAGATTTATTCTTTTGTGATTGAGGTATATAGTCTTGACATCTGCATCCCAAATGGCTCACTTAAAAGATTGTGTGAATTTCAAAAGGATCAAAGAGCAGTACCTCTGCATCAATCTGATATTCAGCTTCAACACGTTCTCTTGAGTGGGTATTTTTATGGCACGAGCATGTCAAAGCTTAGCTTAATCTTTGATCTTAATAAAAAATAATAATATTTAACTGCAATATACTCTTTTGCACCAATATCAGAAATATATTTTTATTTTCTTGCAGAATGATGAGAGTTTCTTGAATACAATCTACGAGACATACCTTTCTGTTGTTGCAAAGTGTGCTAATTCTGGCAGAAAGATATGATGTTACATCTCTTCCTGAGTCAACTACATTCCTCCACATTATTGGATTTGCAGGTGGCTAAAGTCGGTGTGCTGTGACTGGACTGGTTGCATTTACTACACTGCATGATGGATTACATACCTGATTCATAATAATATTTCTCTTTTCAAATTTCTAGTCCTAAATAACATCAAATTATAAATTACATTTATTAAAAGAAGAAAGTGGATGAAATATTGGTTGGCTTATAAAAAGGCCACTCCACACTGGATCCCTTGTTATATATAAAAAAATAATAATAATATATATATATATATATATATATATATATATATATTATTATTTTTAAAATTCTTGCATTATGGGATATATTGTTCAGAAAGTGTACTGAACTTTGCACACCTTGTGAGCAGTTGCATAGCTGGGGGAAAAACAAAACTATGCACAGCGATTTTATTACTTGCACAAATAGTTTCCTTTTTTTGGGGGGGGGGGTGTGTTTGTGCACATGAAACTACTCCCCAGACTGCCATGTGTGCGTTTCTTCTAAAAAAACAAACAAAAAAAATACAGTTTTTTTTTCTTTTTGGGTGGGGGGAGAGGGATAAAATGCATTTGCCCTCCAACTTCAGGATGTTGCATTTTTTGCACCATGGGTACCAATAGTAGTACCACTTTATGGATAAGAAATATATGTAAAGATGGGTCGCTTTAGTGAATAGGCCTATTATGGTCTATTAATACTTGTATATAAATAATTTAGCCTATAGCTTTCTTTTTGAGAGAGTTCTTGTATGAGTTTTAATGTATTTTGGAGAAAAGCAGAGCATTCTATATTTTTTGGAAAATTTCTATTTTTATTTCTTTCAGATTTAAACTTTTTGAATGAAAATCCTCTTTTAAACCCTGTTTTGGTGGAAGGATTTGAGCAGCCAGATATTTTTAGGTGTTATTCAATGAATGCCCTCAAGGTGGCTCTTTGGCCTTTTGTTAATACAGAGTTCTGTTTGTCTTATCAAACAACCTATTTTGAGATTATGCACGTTTACTGAAATCATTTTACTATAAATTATTCCTGTTTCTTAATGAGATTTTTGAAGGGAGCGGACTGTTCTTTGTAATAAAACATATTATACAGATTTGTATAATAGGCTAAAACGAAACCTTTTTAAATGTTAACAGTACACACTGTACTGTGTATATTGGTACAGATTGCTTTGTGACGCTGTTAGGCTGTTTTTTTGTTGTTTTTTTTTAAATATTTGTTTCTGGTATGAGTTGGAGGAATGGCCTGGAGATTTGATATTTAAATATGAAACTTTTAAGGGGGATATTTTATATGAATACAAAAAAGAAAAGAAAAAAACTACCATAAAGTGTCTCAACATTTTGGTAATTATAGTCACAATGAAATGGGCATAAAAAATAACTTAATGGATATATTAAAATGTAAAATAGAAAAGATAAAAGCAAAACAAAAAGCACAAGGCTACAAAATAATATGTCCTATAAACTAGTTGGGGTATAAAACCTCCAATAGAACCAATAGCAAGAGAAGTGTTGCTTCAAAGAAATACTTATTGGTGTAAAGTAAAACTACTTGCTATGAACAATGTAACTGAATTCTAAATAGGAAAGTGGGATACTAATATCCTCTAAACTCCTCCTGCAGAACAGGGTCGGTTGAATATAGATGAAATGCCTCTAGTGCACAAGGGGTTAAACAGCACAACAGTTGGTTGCAATGGATAATAGAAAAGAGGCAGGAAATACCTGTAAAATAAAGATGTATAGGAGACAGTTGCAAGCTAGGTTAGATATAATGGTCAGTAGAAATATAGAGACTATAGGTAATCCTGACGCTTGCTAGCAAGAGAGGTGTAAATACAAAGAGATACTTTAATAGTAAAAAGTTAAGCCACTTGCTATAAACAGTGTCACTGAATTCAAGATAGGAGGGTGGGGTATTCGTATCCTCTGAACTCCTCCTGCAAAACAGGGTCTACTGTATATAGATGAAGCACCTCTAATACACAAGAGGTTAAACAGTACACCAATATGGTTGCAATAGTTAATGAAGAAGAGGCAGATAATACCTGTAAATAGGGAGGTATAGGAGGCAGTAGCAAGCTAGGATTAGATGCAAAAATAAATAGAGATGTAGAAAATATAGATAATCCTGATGCTTGTAAGATAGAAAATCTAAGTGCCTTCGAGGGCACCCCTTAATAAATGCCTATACTATATAGCACAACCTCCCAAAAAGGTGTAAATACCGATAGATACGTAAATAGTAAAAAGTTAAGCCACTTGCTATAAACAATGTTCAAGATAGTATCTCTAATACACAGGAGGTTAAACAGCACACCAATGTGGTTGCAATAGTTAATAGAAAAGAGACAGAGAATACCTGTAAATAGGGAGGTATAGGAGGCAGTAGCAAACTAGGATTAGATGCAATGATAAATAGAGATGTAGGAAATATAGGTAATCCTGACGCTTGTAAGATAGAAAAACTAAGTGCCTTCGAGGGCACCCCTTAATAAATGCCTATACTATATAACTCAACCCCCCAAAAAGGAATAAAGAGACAGAGGATAGGACAAGTAAAAAGAATGCCTAGTTGTAAAAGCAAGATCGCTAGTCAGACCGCGGCTGAATAAGTGCAGCTGAGGAATGTTAGGCTAGGCTTCCTGAGCCCCTGCTGCACTTATTCAGCCACGGTCTGACTAGCGATCTTGCTTTTACAACTAGGCATTCTTTTTACTTGTCCTATCCTCTGTCTCTTTATTCCTTTTTGGGGGTTGAGTTATATAGTATAGGCATTTATTAAGGGGTGCCCTCGAAGGCACTTAGTTTTTCTATCTTACAAGCGTCAGCAATTAGCTATATTTCCTACATCTCTATTTATCATTGCATCTAATCCTAGCTTGTTATTGCCTCCTATACCTCCCTATTAACAGGTATTCTCTGCCTCTTTTCTATTAACTATTGCAACCACATTGGTGTGCTGTTTAACCCCCTGTGTATTAGAGATTCTTTATCTATATACAGCCGACCCTGTCCTGCAGGAGGAGTTAAGAGGACACCAATACTCCACCCTCCTATCTTGAACATTGTTTATAGCAAGTGACTTCACTTTTTACTATTTAAGTATATCTCTGTATTTACACCTTTTTGGGAGGTTGTGCTATATAGTATAGGCATTTATTAAGGGGCGCCCTCGAAGGCACTTAGATTTTCTATCTTACAAGTGTCAGGACTACCTATATTTTCTACATATCTATTTATTTTTGCATCTAATCCTAGCTTGCTACTGCCTCCTATTTACAGGTATTCTCTGCCTCTTCTTATTCCTTTTTTCTTTTTTAGTTACTTACTTTTAAGGGGGATAGTTCAGTATTTAATTTCTTATCACCAGTAAACGCAATTAAAGTGCTTGATATGGTGAGTAATGCAGGAGTGGTAAGTTAAAGACACATCCTCAGCACTTCCATGTCGAAAGTGACATCACCTCATGATACTCCAGATGTGTTTCTGCATCTTGCATGCCCAGGCAATTCTTCTGTCTGGGTTAATTTAATTTGGTTGCGCCAGGACAACCAGGCATTAAATGTAAATTTTAAACCTTACAGAATTTAGAAATAAAAAATAGCAGAACCCATCGCTAACTTTTACTCATAAGTTTGTGCAAAACTCTGACCTCTCCTTTTAGAATTTTGGCTAACTAAAGTGCCTCCTTTTTCGAACCACTCGCAATTAAGCTTCAATGTTTCTACCTTATTCCTGGTAGGATTAGCAAATCCCCACAGAAAAAATAAACACACCTTTTTCTCACATTGGTGAGTTAAAGGACCACTATAGTGCCAGGAAAAGAAACTAGTTTTCCTGGCACTATAGGGTCTTTGGGTCCCTCCCACCCTCAGGGTCCTACTCCCGCCGGGCTGAAGGGGGTAAAGGCTTACCTTTCTCCAGCACCGGGCTCCCTCGGCACAGGGGACTCTCCGATGTCATCCGCCGAATCTGCATGCGCGGCAAGAGCTGCATGCGCATTCAATTAGTCCATAGCAAAACATTTCCCGATGCTTTCCTATGGACGTCGGCGTCTTCTCACTGTGATTTTCACAGTGAGAAGCGCAGAAGCGCCTCTAGCAGCTGTCAATGAGACAGCTACTAGAGGCTAGATTAACCCTAATGTAAACATAGCAGTTTCTCTGAAACTATGTTTACAGCTGCAGGGTTAACACTAGAGGGACCTGGCACCCAGACCACTTCATTGAACTGAAGTGGTCTGGGTGCCTATAGTGGTCCTTTAACTTAGTACTAGGCAGGTTGTGTGTGTGTGTGTGTGTGTGTGTGTTTCATATCAATACACAGCAATTGAAGGGCTCTCTTTCAGAGTTTAGTTTTCTTAATTGTGGTTTTGGTAGGAGCTAGAGAGAGGGATAAATAAATTATTCTAACCCCACCCCCCTCCCAAACTTTAATGTGTTAGCACACTACAACTCTAATGAATTCAGTCAGTTGATTTTGGCTCTAAACAGTTTCTGCCATCATGCGTTTGATGTCAGTAGCCAATAATAATATGTGATGTGCTAACTAAGAGCATTCCATTGCAATTGATAAAATAATACTGCCATTTGAATTTCTCAAATGCTATTTTTTATTTTTTTTTAAAAATAACAAAACCAAAGCAATTTTAAAAATTATCTGCGTGAGTTATAGTCACTTTCAAATTTATTATGTGATGATACATATAACAAATCTGATGACTCCCACATTGTAGTAGAAAATGAAGAGATGGTAATTAATGTGCTTTTTTCTGGTATTTCTATGTTCTTGCATGGCAATTATCTTGCAATGCTTTATATTCTATTTTCATTTTTTTGTCTCAATAAAATAGAAATTGTTCCAGGGTGTGGTGATAGTGTAACTTTCTGGGAAAACTTTTTTTTTTTTTTTACACACACATAACATAAAATTAGCTGTAAATGCAGTCAGTGGCACAGAAGCAAACTGCATATTAAATAATCTGTCTCTTACAAGAAATAAAAAAAATCAGTATGAGAGAAAAAAAAAGCTGTCTGTTTCTACCAACTGCATCTGTGGAGATAGCAGTCGTAGCAACACTGCAAGACTCCACTACAATGATAGGCATTTGAAAACATTACAACTACCACCAGCATCACATTTTAGAATACTTTTCTTTTCTACAATTTCTACAAAGAGTTTAAATAAAGAACTGTCACACTCAGTGAAAGCAGGGTTCACGTCTGCAGTAAATTACCACACACTCTGTTAATTACCCAGAAGCACACTACATCATATAATCATTCCTACAATAAATAAAATAAATCACTTATCCAACCTGCTTCTGTTGACTAGTGGCACTATCCTTACCCCTGCCCTTAATCTGCCTAAGGGTGCTGGTAGTTGTGATGGAGTAGAATCAGATACAGTACCAGTGGACCTGCTGCCTGCGTTGTGTTTTTTGTTTGTTCGTTCTACTTCTTCCCTCCGTAATACAGACTTTAGTGTCTTTAACCACTTGACACGTCATGTGTCCTTAAGGGGTTAAACATGTTGCTTTATACCGCTGAAGATGCACGTGGAGGGCAGTGGAAGGCTGTCTCAACACTATCCCTGTACAATGGTATTTGGTTTAATAATGCTAATGGAAATCTGTATGGCGCTGGTAATGGTAACATTGACACTGGGTGTGCCAGTTGTAGCATGTTCAGGCTCATAATTGTCTCCATTGGATGAGGCAATTCTAAAGCAGATAAAGATAGACTTGGAGGAGATGATGAAGATGCAGGAGGCAAGTGCACACTAGCTGTCATAGAAAATTCTGGGCTTCTATAGGTACTCTCCACATTCTCTTCTAATTCCTCTGGCTTATCGCTCCTAGTCTAGTACCTGGGCCAGAAGTAAAAGTGCTGTCTTTATTAAAGAGGTGCTCTGATGACCCCACAAAGAAGACTCTGTTGCACTCTCTCTTAGTTGCTTTAAGAGGTTACAACACTTGAACTAGCTATGGTAGAAGGAGCTGCAGTACCAGTCGAAACAGCATGAAAAGTATAGGATGAATCGGACGTAACAGGCATGCTGCTAATCCCACTATCTTTAGGCTGAATACTATTAAAGGTGGCGTAGGTGATGGTAGTCTTCATGGCCACTAAGAGGTATTCTGTCAGAAACTGTGACTGTACACCTGATTGGAGTTGGGGTGTTGGATAACATTGGTGGAGAAACCAAGACTGATGATGGGTTTGGTTTTGCTATAACAATAAATCTGGGATGTGATAGGGTTGCCTCCTGGCCGGAATTTTACCGGCACAGCGGTATTTGATGCTGTTTGGCTGGTGCCAGTATTGCAAAAATACAGACCATGCAATTGCCGGTATTTTTCTGTGAGGATCTGCAATATTGGCCACCAGGGGGCGTGGTTGCAAGGAAGACTCGGTGCCTGAGTTGTGTGGAGAGGGCACAGCATGTCCCTGCCCTCTCCACAGGTTTGGAATCCGCATGGGCGCAGCATGAGCTACAGTACATGGAGATGGAAGCATCATTATTATTTATATAGCACCGTCAGATTCCGAAGCGCTGTACAATGGGTGGACTAACAGACGTAATTGTAACCAGGGAACTGGACGTACAGGAACAGAGAGGTGGAGGGCCCTGCTCAATGATCATGGAAGCATGGCAGCAGTAGTTCTGACAGCAGGTACCTGTGTGTTCTTTTTCAGAAGCCTGTGTGTGTGTGTATTCAGCAGTCTGTATGTGTGTAATCCGGTGTCTGTGTATGTATTCAACAGTCTGTGTATTTAGCAACATGCGTATGTATGCAGAAGTCTAATGGGAGAAGGGTGAAAGAAATAGAACTAGAATATCCATCTCTGTTAATAAGTAACCTGTGCACGCATTGCTACACACTATATACACAGTAACAGACACACACTCACAGTATACAGACACTGACACACGGTCACTCAACAGTATGCACACAGTTATGCACATTTAGACGCATATATAATTAATGGTATTTTCCCTCCAAAAAAGGTGGCACCCTAGATGTGAAAGTGTAAACGAACACTACAGGATAGACCGAATGCGGGGTGTGCATTAGCTTAGCACTCTTAGACTGTCACTGCCATATATGTTGGACTGCATGCTAATGAAGAAATGTAAATTTATAAATGTATCATATCAACAGTGTTCTCTGGATGCTGATGAATAATCTGGCTTTTGTCAAACTATTCCCAAACAGTAAATTGGCAGCATAACTACTACATTGTATTGTGGTGGTGATGCTGCGGAGATTGCCCTTTTAAATTGACACTATAGTGCAACAATGAAAGTTTAGGTTCCCGGGTCCCCTCTTAGTGGAGATGGAAGTGTTAAAATGTGCCTTTTCACCGAAGCCACACCGGTCTCTCTCAGCCTGATCCTGCTCCATGACTGAGAACATCAATCTCATATGAAGGTTTTGGAGGCTATTGCACATGCTTGCTGGGCTAATGGGCATCTCCTCATAGAGATGGATTCAAACTGCATCTCTATAGGGAACTTTCAGTTCTTTTTGAAAGACCGATACAAAATAAGACATCATGGCGTTATTACAAATAGAATAAGGACAGCTTTCTGCTTACAGATCAGGCCCGGACTGGCCATCGGGCATACCGGGCAAATGCCCGGTGGGCCGCGATGGCCGTGGGGCCGAGGCCGGCAGGGAGATCACAGGATCTCCCCTGCCAGCCCGTGCAGGGCCAGCGCTATCCGAGCGCCGGCCCTGCATAGTGCCTCCACGGGCCGGTGGGGAGATCACAGATCTCCCTCACCGGCCCACAAGAATGGAGATGCGGCCGCCGGCTGGGTGAGGGAGGGAGGGAGGACCCGGCGGAGCTCTAACAAGCAGCTCCGCCGGGTCCTCTCGCGGTATTCTGAGCGTTGCCGTGGCAACGCTCAGCTCTCGCGAGAGTGAACTCTAACCCGCAGGTTAGAGTTCACTCTCACCACTGGACCACCAGGGAAGCATGCGAGAACGGATCTCCTCCCCCCCTCCCAGGATAAAGGTAAAAAGGGAGGGGAGGGGGAAACACATAACTTTTTTTTATTTTTTATATTAATAAATAAAAAAAAATTATTTAAAATAAATTCCCTAATAGCCCCCTCACACACACAGCACACCCCAGACACACACAGCACCCCCCAGACACACACACAGCACCCCCCAGACACCCACAGCACGCCCCAGACACCCACAGCACCCCCCAGCAGCACCCCCAGACACCCACAGCACCCCCCAGACACAAACAGCACCCCCACAGCACCCCCCAGACCCACACAGCACCCCCAGACACCCACACAGCACCCCCAGACACCCACACAGCACCCCCAGACACCCACAGCACACAGCACCCCCCGAGACACCCACACACACAGCACCCCCTCGAGACACCCACAGCACCCCCAGACACCCCTTAGCACCCCCCAGACACCCTTTTTTAGCACCCCCCAGACACCCCTTAGTACACCCCCAGACACACAATAGCACCCCCAGACAATCACAGCACCCCCTGCTAGACACAGACAGCACCCTCACTCCCAGTCATATACAGCACACACGCGTACATATATATATATATATATATATATATATATAAAATAACCCTCAGTGAGTTAACAGACAAAGAGAATTAGAAACCTAGAATGTGGCGGCAGATAAAAACACACTCACACACAGCACCCCTCTTACACAAACACACTGCGCACCTCACACATACAATACGTCCAAATATATTCTAAATATATATATACACACACACACTACAGCACCCCTCACACTGCACCACTACACACATAACGCTCCAGATACACGCTAGATCCCTTACCCTATATGCACTCTTAATCCTCTATACACACACACACACACACACACACAATCTTCTATACACACTCTGGGTCCTTTACACACACACACTACATTCCTTGTAAGCAAACACATACAACATTCTCTAAACACACCCTCTCTACAAACCCTACACACGCTACGTCACCTATACACACACACTACTGCCCGTATGTACACACTCGCTACATCCCCTATAACACTATGCCCCTATACACGCACTCTCTACAACCCCTAGCCACATATTACACCACAAAATTGACCTATTTACACAATACCACACCACACTCTACACACAGGCAATCCCACAAGCATGCGCCAAACACATGCACCATACACTTTCCTGGCCTTTTTGTCCTCTGGTATCCCACTTGTGGAGACACCAGAGACAATTTAAAAGCAAACACAGCGCAAGCATGTTATTACATTTGCTTGCGCTGCGCAGAACAAATACAGGGCCTTTTTCTAATGCTAGAGCTCTTCAGCGGGGCTCTGCGCATTGAACCAACATGCTCACTTTGAGAGGGGGCGTGTTGTCATTAGTGATGACAAAACACACCCTCTCTGGCCCCGCCCCCTTCTTGGGGGGCCGCTCTAATTGAAAAATGCCCGGGCCTAATTTTTTTCCCAGTCCGGCCCTGTTACAGATACATATCTAAAATATTTATTCAGTTCATTGGCAATACATATTTTGTAATTTATTAATTTAACCTTTTTTTGCAACTACACATGTCAATCCTATGCGTGAGACTATTGCCCGAGTTTCTGTATTCTCTCTTTTTTTGTGTGTATTTGGAATTTGTGACGTTCCTTCGTTGCATGGGATGTTTTCAAACATGAAGAAGAAAAGTTTAGTCTTTATTTTCAAAGGCTTATTTTTTTCTTTTGAGCTTGAATCAAAACAAGAAAACTTTTTGTAAGGATGCTTCTTAAATGTCCTTTTAATGGTTGACAGGAAGCCACATTGAATTCCATAGCTGAGACTAATTTAAATAATCTGTTTCTTTTCTCATGTGGTTACATAACCCAGCTACTGCTTTGGGTGATTTTTCAGAATGTGTAACTATTTCCCAGCTTTGTTTGTGTTTCAAAATAAGTGAGTCTAGGTCTAGGAGATTGTGCAGAATTGCCCCTATACTTGCATCATGGTAGTCGAATGAAGCTTGGCATTATGTACAAACTTACATTGCTAATGCATATGTGTGTTTTGTCCTTTTTTTTTTTTTTTTCTTGAATCCTCATTGTTTCCATATTTGGTTTAGTGGGTTTGTATGCAGTGGTGTAGGGGATAAGTCCTGGGGAAAAAAGTGTGGGAACTCACTTAAAATCCACGCTCACCCCAAAAAACATTATACGCTTGTATGCATATATATTTCTCAGAAAATAAAAATAAAATGTGAGTGCAGGACTGTATCAGGGTTGGCTCTCTAATTAGGTGATTTAGGCGGCTGCCTAAGGCCTTGCGCTGATTGGGGCCTTGCGGGCAGAATGACGTCAAGTCCAGGAGGGGGGCCCGGCGTCTTGCTCTGTGTGCCGCCAGGTGCAAGGCCCCTACACCGCCTGCCCTGGCAGAGAGATAGCCTCCTGTCTTCAGCTCCGCCAAGTGCAGAGCTGGAAACAGGAGTCTTGTAATCTCCAGCCAATAAGAGCGTTGTCGCGTGTTACCACTGCAGTGCTCTGACTGGAGATCGCAAGACTTACCACTCGGTGGAGCTGCAGACTGGAAAGTAGCCCACCAGACCACCGGGTATTTACCTTTTCACAGCCCCCCTACCCACCTCATAGCAACCCCCTACCCACCTTACAACCCCCACACACCCTCCCAGCCACCCACACACACCTTGTCACAGTCATCCCCACCCCATCACAGCCTCCCGCACACACACACACACACACACAAACTTATCATCCCCATATACACACTGACACCCCCTCAGTACACTATCACCATCCCCCATCCCCAATCACTTTCAGGCCATACACACTGTCACCCCTTCACCCAGCTCCACTTATTAACCCTTTTTAATCCTGTCCCACTCACCCCCTCCAAGCATACCAAACTTACCTACCTTCGCTTTGCCACATTTACCCTATCATATTAATCCCCCAATCCCGCTAGACTTTCTCTCGCACTGTCACACCTCCCCTCTATGATACACCTCCAACTATGCCACACTCACCCTGTCACATTAACCTCCTCAAATCCTGTCACACTCCCTCCTCCAGCCATGTCACAAAGCCCCTATCATTCTCACCCTCCCTCATTATGTCACTCTCCTTCCCAACCCTGTCTCATTCATTCCCCTCACCATGTCAAACTCACCCTGTCACACTCACCAACTGAAGACCTTCATCATTCGCACACAAGAAGACATAAAACGTAGCTGTGCCATAACACAATGCACAAAGGCCACAGCCAGCCCCCATAAACACAACACACCACAAGCAGCTACTCCACACACAAAGGTCACAGACACATGCTCACAAAGACATACATTCACACACAAGGATACTCTCGGTCAGACACAAACTTTCAGGCACATACATAGGGAGACAATGGCAGACACACTCAGAAATACACACACCGGCACTTATGTATACATACCTACCAGTCGTGTATAAATGATTAGCATAATTACGAATTAAATTTGTTTATTACAAAATAATTGAGTTTGAAAATTATGTCATAACTTCAGTCAGAGAGCTCACAACGCAGCGGGACAGGGATCTGCGACACTGCAAGCCTCTGAACAATGAATACATAGACTAGCTCTCTGTATCCATGCTGCAAGCCTATCCTTCAATATAACTACAGCACCTTACACAGACAATGCAACCCCTATTTATTTTCACTTTGGGTGTTAGTGGGGCCTCACGTTTGAGTTTCGCCTAAGGCCTCACAAAGTCTAGAGCCGCCACTGGTCTGTATATAATGTGCTGTGTGTGGTTGTGAGTACAGGACTGTCTGTACATAACGTGCAGTGCATGGCTGTGAGTGCAGGACAGTCTGTATATAACTTGCAGTGTGTGGCTGTGAGTGCAGGACTGTCTGTATATAACGTGCAGTGTGTGGCTGTGAGTGCAGGACTGTCTGTATATAGCGTGCAGTGTGTGGCTGTGAGTGCAGGACTGTCTGTATATAACGTGCAGTGTGTGGCTGTGAGTGCAGGACAGTCTGTATATAACTTGCAGTGTGTGGCTGTGCGTGCAGGACTGTGTATATAATGTGCAGGACTGTATATAACGTGCCGTGTGTGGCTGTGAGTACTGAGCATATATCGGCATACAATATGTTATGGTTGTGATTTCTGAGAGTCAGTCTGTATACAGTGTGTTGTGGCTGTGAGTGATGACAGTCTGCGTGCAATGAGCTGCGTTTCCAGCCGGTCTGAACTCTAGCGCTCCCACCGGGCAGACTGAGCTCCTCCCGGAGACAGTGGCTGCACATTGAGCCGGGTCTCGCTGGCTTAACGTTCTCTGCGAGCGGATCGGGAGCAGCTGCAGGGGGGATCCGGAGCAACCCCACAACTCCCAACACAACCAGACACCACTCACAGCCACCCCGACAAAGGGCAGGTCCTGCAGGACTACTACTGGGAACGGCGCTCCTGCTGTGGAAAAAGCGCAGAAACATTATTCCTGCAGGACTTGAGCCCTGAAGTGGTGGCTGAAGAAGCTTTAGGATTGAGGGGTGCCAGAAGCCACCCACATCATTTGACCATGCCCCCTCTGTTGAAACTCTATCCTTTGATAAACTGGGCTTATGAAATATTAAACTAGTTGTCAAACTGTATAAATATTGATGATTGAATGATTACATTATTTTAACCCTTTGCCTGCAGAAACTATGAGCAGCAAACAAATGTGAGTGGCACACCCCCTTGCATTAAAACCTGTGGTTATATATTGCTTGGTGTGCAGGCAATTACTTATGACAGAGCTTGATAAATATGTTTGGAATCTAGGAGCCAGCTAAAAAAGTTAGGAAACAGTCATTTTCAACATGAAAATGCAATTCTTAAAGGGACACTATAGTCGCCAGAACCACTACAGCTTAATGTAGTTGTTCTGGTGTCTATAGCCATTCCCGGCATGTTTTTCTGTCAAAAGGCAGTGTTTACATTGCTGCTTAGTAACATTGCTGTTTACATTGCTGCTTAGTCCTTGGTCACTGCTGCACTACGTGCAGGACCCAGGTTTAGTGTCTCCAAGCTCTGCATGGAGGCACTGAATGTTCCTCATAGAGATTAACAAATGTAATGCATTTCTATTATGAGATATGGATTGGTACATTTGCTGCGCATGCACAAAATCCTCCCAATGCTTTCCTAAGGGAAAGCATTGGCTTAGCTGAGATCATAAACATTGGTACCAGCCATGGCAAAACTGGCACAGCGTGGGGAAAATGGGGGAAAAAAGGTGAGTTAAAAACACCTTCCTCATGCGATTGGATGGGGCAGGTATCTAAATTAGGCTCTCTAATTAGGTGGCTTAGGCGGCCGCCTAAGGCCTCGCACTGGCTGGGGCCTCGCGGCCGCCTAAACCGCCTAAGGGCAGACTGTCGGGTCCTCGGTCCTGACGCCAGGAGGGGGACCCAGTATGCCACCGGGTGCGAGGCCCCTCCTGGCTGCCTGGCCAGCCACCGCAGACACTGGTCTGCAGTAATCAGAGCTGCAGGCCATGTGTCTCGCGAGAACTGGCCAATCAGAGCGTTGCCGCGGGTTACCATGGCAACGCTTTGATGGTCTCGCAAGATTACATGGTCTGCAGCAGAAACGATGCCCACTGGACCACCAGGGAAGAAAAGGTGTGTTGTCTCCTTCCTCTCCCCATCAGACCCCCCACCCTCAGCATCACCCCCCTCAGCATTATCACCCCCCACCACTACCCCCTCTCACTATTACCCCCCTCCGCATCATCACCCCCTCTCACCACCCTCAGCATTACCCTGTCCCTCCCTCACCATAATCCCCCCCTCACCACCCTGAGCATCACTCACCTCACCATCACCCCCCTCCCTCACCATCACCCTCCCCCTCACCCTCACCATCCTCCCTCACCTCATCCTCCCTCACCCCTACCACCTCACCTCCCTCACCATCACCCCCCTCCCTCACCATCCGCCCCTCACCCTCACATAACCCCCGTCACCATCACTCGCCTCTCCCTCTCACCATCATCCCCCCATACACACACACACCACACTTCAAGCAGCTACCCCATACACATAGGGTCCCAGACAAAAATGCAGGCATGCTCACAGAGACATACACACACACACACACACACTCTGTCAGACACACTCTCAGGCACATACACATGTGAGCTGTGCATCAATGTGTATATGTGACCGTGTTCATGTATTGCAACTCTATTTTTTCACTTTTTTGTTAGTGGGGCCTCATGTTTGAGTTTCGCCTAAGGCCTCATAAAGTCTAGAGCAGCCTCTGCTGGAGCCTGTGGGTAGCACGTGGCGTCGAGTGTGTAGGTGTTGGAGCAGCTTTTGCATCGAGTTTTGGAGCCATTCTGGAAATTGTTTGCAGTTGTTTTGGGACTTTTTGGTGCATTTCTCAAGCTGTGGAATGGTAGGGAGCTGAGCTTCATCGTTTGCATGCCTTTTATTGTGTGTTCTGCATTGTGGGTTGGTTTCCATGCCAGCTCATTTTGACTTTTTTCTGACCTTCAGAACAGATTAATTGGTTTTTAATGCATTCCTATGGGAAACCACGTTTCGGTTTACAAATTTTTTGCAATAAGAAACGTCCAGGAGAAAGCATTACATTCGTAAACCGAGGTCCCACTGTATATGTAAAAAACAGATAGTATTTGTATCTTGGTGTACAATTACAATTTCTGATGGCAGCCCTGCATATTAAAATATCTCACCTGGGCTGAAATTAAAGGACCACTCTAGGCACCCAGACCACTTCAGCTTAATGAAGTGGTCTGGGTGCCAGGTCCCTCTAGGATTAACCCTTTTTTTTTTAATAAACATAGCAGTTTCAGGGAAACTGCTATGTTTATAAATAGGTTAATCCAGCCTCTAAAGCCTCTAGTGACTGTTTCATTGACAGCCGCTAGAGGCGTTTGCGTGCTTCTCACTGAGAAAATCACAGTGAGAAGATGCCAGCATCCATAGGAAATTGTAAGCATTGTAAATGCTTTCCTATGAGACCGGCTGAATGCGCGCGCAGCTCTTGCCGCGCATGTGCATTCAGCCGAAAGGGAGGATCGGAGGCGGAGAGGAGGAGGAGAGCTCCCCGCCCGGTGCTGGAAAAAAGGTACGTTTTAACCCTTTCCTCTCCCCAGAGCCGGGCGGGAGAGGGAACCTGAGGGTGGGGGCACCCTCAGGGCACTATAGTGCCAGGAAAACAAGTGTTTTCCTGGCACTATAGTGGTCTTTTAATGTAATAAGATGTACAATTCCTGCAAAAAGAACCTTAAATGTATGTTTAAAAAAATATGTTGCCTAGATTCTACCCATTATTCTCTCGTTTCAAGAAAGGTAGCTGCCACAACTGCCCTCATTCTCAAAAGTAGTCTCAGTGCTCTTTGTTCTGTAGCTGTATTCAACCATCAGTGTGCTTCCAAGGGAATCGGCAAACAACATCTCCCTTATAGAATCTGGCAAGTTTGTTAAACTTTATTTGAATTGTACACCAAAATATTTGAGATGGAAACCTAGATGAATAGGCAAATTTGACCAAACTGGCAAGGTGGGCCCCAAGTTTCACTAAAGTGAGAATTTAAATTTAATTTTACATTTTAGGCCAAAGTGCCCGAGATGGAAGCATAACTGCTGTTTTGGTTTTGAATTTAAAATTCACTTGCAAATGTTCCTTTATTGAATTACCTGTATTAATGCATATTTTAGTAACTAACCTTGGTACTTTCATGTACTGAAAGCAGCCATGGATTTATGACATTCTTTAGAGTCCTGGTGACCAGAGCTGTAAGTTTGTACATTAGCATATTTTTATAGATTGTAACGAGATCAATAAAAAAGAAGATATGCTATCAGGAAAGCAAACAGCCACATCTGCTAACGGAAACTGGATGACATTTCCTCTTTATGGGGATATGTTAGTGGATAATGAAAATATAGTGATCTTGATTAAAATATTGAATCAGAAGCAAATTAATTGTTCCAAATACTAATATTGCTTATTATCTGGGGCTAGATATGTATGATTGGAGTTATCATAATGAATCACAATAAATTAAAACCTGAACATGGTGTTATGTGTAATAATGTTACACATGGTTTATATTTAGAATTTCTATGTCATGGAACAAGGCAGGCATCCAGGAGCCATACTTGCTTGCTAATTATTATTATTTTTTTTAAATTAATACAATGTGATAGATTTCTTACCGAATGCTCAGATCATTTAAAAACTAGCACATGAGGCCTCCATTGCCACAAATATTGCTGTATTTCAAAATTATTAGTACTTGGCGAGATCTCATGATCTCCTATATCACTGGAAAACTACTTTTGCTTTTGGCTCATTTAATAGTAACAGGTGTTAGGGACTGCACATGTCTTTAAAGGGACACTATAGACACATGAACAACTACAGTTTATTGACTTTTTTTCTGGTGAGTAGAATCACTACCTTCAGGCCTTTTGCTGTAAACACTGTCTTTTCAGAGAAAATGCAGTGTTTACATTACAGCCTAGTGATAACTTCACTGGCCATACCTCAGATAGCTGTTAGAGATCCTTCCTGGGTCATGGCTGCCTAAAATGCGTCCAAACATTCAGTGTCTCCTCCTTCTGCATGCAGACACTGAACTTTCCTCATAGAGATTCATTGATTCAATTCATCTCTATGAGGAGATGCTGATTAGCCAGGGCTGTGTTTGAATCATGCTGGCTCTGCCCCTGATCTGCCTCTTTGTCAGTCTCAGCCAGTCCTATGGGGAAGCACTGTGACTGGATCAGGCTACCACTTCTGATGACTGCTTGTTTTTTTTTAGGCAAACAGCATGCAGAGCTACAGCTTACAGTTCCACACTGGCTAATGTCAGTTATGTGCAAATTTTGATGCACAGACACTTGTTCACTGGGTGAGAGCAGCCAGGTGACACTCTCATCCAATGAATGAGTGGCAGAATCGGCCTTTAGCTTTTGCTGTAAATTTGCCGACATTGGAGATCCAGCACCACCAGGACCAGGTAAGAGGGCAAAACATTGCCACATTACCAGGGAACAGTGCCACAGTATTCCTACCATTATAACCACCACATTGGGCTGTAGGGACCCTTTAACAAAACACTAGAGCGTTAGGAATACAAGCCTGTATTCAGACGCTAAACTACAAACCACAGGGTCCTGTTGCGAAAATTGCACTGTTCCCTCCTCCCCATACATCTTCTCTACCCCTCTACCCTTCTCCCCCAATTGGGGACCTGATGCGGATGCTCAGCTCATAGGAAAACATTTTATTCCGTGTTTTCCTGTGCATTTCTGCATCACATGACCAATTTTTACTTAGTGCAGCAGAAGCTCCTTTAATAGATGTCCAGAAGACAACTAAAAGTGGATTTAACTCTGCAATGTCTCCCCCACCATAAAAAGAAAAGAAAACTGCAAAGTTTTACATTAATAACCTTAAAAGGACAGGACCACTTCATTGGATGACTTTGGTATCCATTTAACCTCCAATGATACCGCTTCTTTACACAAGATGTAATTGATTACATTTAGGTTTGATATAGGGCAGGGTTTTTAGATAAATTTACTCTTTGGCTGACCACCTAGCAACTCACCTGCCAGGAGCTTATCATTTTTCCGTAGTATAGTACGAGCCAAGCCATGCCACTGCAAGTCTATGGCACACTCATCAGGGCAAATGCCACTGACTAGTTCTGAATGGAAATTTTGAGCCCTTGCATAATCCACTGTAGTCGATACACTGCAGCAGGTAGAGTAACTGTTAGAGTATTTTGCTGGTGTAGTTCAGTTTTAAAGCTTAGAAGGATCTGGGTTGGGACAGAGTACTAGAAATTACCTGGCCACATAAAAATCTGCTCCGGCACATGGGCTCTAAAATAACAGAAAATTAATTCAGCAGAATTCTCCAAAGCCATAACAGACCATGTCTCAACACGAATAAGAAAGCCTCCTCCAAAAGCGGCAAACAAAACTTCTTCGGCCACAAAACAACCACCTTGCCTGAGGCCAAGCGGACGGGCCTACAAGACGGAGCTGTGACAGACGAATCTAGCAACATTGTGGCTGCACTGAATACACCACCGCACTCTGAAAACCTCACAAAAGATTTCTTTGCAAATGCTATGGAAACTATATCCACAAAACTAATTCCCTCATGGCAAACCACAGCAGAACAACAAAAAAATGAAGTCTTAAACCTCACCACCAGAGTGAACCACGTGGAAGCGGAATGCAAAGTGCTCACTATGGCTCAAAACTAAATGGCTGACCAAGTGCAGGCCCTAAAGCACCTGCTAGAGGTGAAGGAAACCCTTATGGCGGACGCCAAAGACGGCGCAACGAAACAACCTACGCCCCAGGGGGTTCTGAGAATCTGTCCTACCAAGTGACCTCCAGGTATATGTAAGGGGCCTCATGCACGCCTATGCCCCGGGAATCCCTGCGGACATGCTGCTGGTGGATAGGGACCACAGGGTCCCTAAACCAACTTACCACCCAGACACCATGCCCCGCGATGTCCTTCTCCGAGCCCATAAGTTCCACATCAAGGAGCTAGTCCTCCGATCATGTAGGAGCAAACCTGACCCGCATGAAGAGTACCCTGGTGTGCGCATCATGGAAGATCTGTCAGAGGTGACACTGCGCAGAAGACAAGCATTCAACCCAGTCATGACAGACCTACAGAACTACGGCATCAGACACTGATGGGGGTACCCAACGAAGCTGCTGATCACCAAAGGCGGAGAAACCATCATCGTCCATAAAAGTGAACAACAGAAGAAAAAGAGAGGCTGCGCCAAAAGGAATAAAATAATAAAAAATACACAATAAAAAAAAAAAAATATATATATATATATATATATATATATATATATATAAAATTGTAAAAAACAGTCCCAATAAATATCAGAGATTGTATAGTCTTAGTCGCTGTTTCAATTGGTAGAGTATCTTCTCTGTTAGTAGTAGATCATCTCTTGATATAAAAGACACAAGGAGAAAGGACCAATAATGTGGAGTGTATAAGATGAATATTAAGTTAAAATATAAATATTACACTCACATTTGAATGAGCTATGGCCAGCTCAGGTGTAACAGGCGTATAGCGGATTAATCCCTGCTTGTAGGATATATGGATACTTGTCCTCCGGAGGGTAATGGTGTCCAATTCTCAGGGAAAGAGAAATAAAAACAACCAATAGTGCTCTCTGATGACACGATGTAGAAGTAGGATTTATATATTTTTTAATTGTGTATTTTTTTATTAATTTATTCCTTTTGGCACAGCCTTTCTTTTACTTCTGTTGTTCACTTTTATTGTAGAGGGTTAGAGGGTCACCCTCTGTCAGGCCGCTGCCTATCTATTGTATTACTAGTGCTAACCTATCCCCTTATCATCGTCCATACCCCAGAAGAAGCGATAGCTCTGCTTGACAAATGGGGCCTGGGGACCAAGCAACCTTCGAGTGCTGTTCCCTCCCCGCACCGATCCACACCTCCTGGCATGGCACAAGCTCATGGACTGCGCCGTACTGTGGCTCCCACCTAAGCCGCAAGTATTATCTTGCTAATATATGTTGTTAGCCTCTCACAAACCTATTATGGCTAACGAATTGCACACAGTTCAGTGTTAAATTATCATCGAATTTACTTTTATGTGATATAGCTATGCTTTATGTAGTTGACAAGGGGACTGACCTAGGCCCAAAAAACGACTATTTACATATTAATCGTCAGAGACCTTTCAACAAACTAAGGGGTAAAATATACCAGCTCATGAGAGGCACCCAGCCAGGCACTTTGCCTCCGATCCCGCTCCACCCTCGGCCACTCCCGGATCTTTACCTCCGTGGGTATCCGGCCTGGGGGGGGGGGGAGTAGTTGCGGACAGAGGAGGCCGCCAGGAAACCGAGCACCACACCACTCACGAGTCCAGAGCACTGGACTACGCAACCAATACCATGGGCACATCACCAGAGAGACTGCCAATGTGCTGGCGCAACCCTAACCTAAGCGAGACACACTGACCCCCATATGGGAGGGCAACATAGCAGCCATGGGACCTGGCTGTACGACATCACTGGCACACATCAGGACTCTAGTGCTTACACTGCACAGCACCTTACTGCCCACCCCAGAGGCTGAAACCTACTCGTGCAAATTAAAACAGAGAACATACTCCCAAGGCAATAAAGCCGGGAAAACCCTAGCTCACATGCTCCGCCAAAAACAGGCAAATGCCAGAACATAAATGACGAAATGGCGGCATATTATCATAAGCTCTACAACCTCAAAGAGGACAAAACCCTACATCAACTGACCACACAAGACATCACCGACTTCCTACAACGCACCACACTACCAACCCTGACACCCACACAAGCAATAGCGATACAACACCCCATCACCACACAAGAAATCCTAGACACCATTCAAGCACTCCCACCTGGGAAATCCCTGGGCCCAGACGGACTTTCAAACTTGTATTACAAGAAATTTGCCACATCCCTAGCACCGCACACAGAAAAAACATTCAACCATATCCTAAACACAAACACAATGCCCCCAGAAATGCTAATGGCTCATGTGGCAACACTCCCGAAACCGATCAAACCCCCAACTAGAAGCCAGAACCTCAGACCCATTTCTCTGTTAAATACAGATGTCAAGTTATTGGCCAAAATATTCTCCAACCACATAGCACCCATAATCCCTTCATAGGTGAGGGGGATGTCAGGGGGCAGATGGCATGAGAAAACCACTGGACATACTACACGGAACGCGGGGGAGGGGAAAACCTAGTTCAATGCCGAAAAAGCTTTTGACAGACTGCACTGGCCCTTCCTTCATGCGGTCCTAACCAAATTCGGCTTCCCCCCCATGACTCATCTCCCTTGTCACAGCACTATACTTCACCCCAACAGTTAAAGTGGTCAATGGTGGCTTCACCTCCCGCCAATTTGGCAATCTTTTTTATTGAAGCACAGTATGTATACAGACAGAGAATAAACAATTGTAAGCTTACAGACGTCAGGCATGTTGTCGCACATACGGCAATGCTCCCTCCCTGTTTCCCGCCTGTATTTCCCTACCCAGCCTCTGTGAGTAACTGAACAACCGAGCGCAACTGCGCGAACTGAACTTTAGAACGTGTTCCGTATATCTCTACGGGGGAAGATAGGGTAAGGGAATCGAGTATTCCTCTTGTTTTCCTCCCTTTCATTTTTACCTCCCGCCAATTTGAAATTTCCAAAGGATCCCGACAGGGATTCCCATTGTCCCCCCTCCTCTGCATTCTAGCACTGGAACCACTAACCCAAATTATTCAAGATGACCCGAACATCCATGGCATCAACCTCCAAGGTCGCAAACACAAACTATCCCTGTTTGCGGATGATATTCTACTAGCACTAGAATAGCCACACATATCCCTACCCAACTTCCACAATTCTTTGCTCAATACAGCCAATGCTCCTACTACAAACTAAACGTGGCCAAAACACAAGAAATAGGCATACACATCCCGAAGCATGACATGACCACTTTGACACAAAACTACGCATATGATTGGCGCAGAGACCACATCAAATTCTTAGGAGTGAACATAACAACTATGACAGCCGCAGTACACAATGCCAACTACACCAAACTCCTGAACGAATTGAAAAACATAACGAGGGATGGAGGGGGAAATACCTCTCCTGGACTGGCAGGATAGCAACAGTAAAGATGATACTCTTACCGAAGATACAATATCTTTTCCGACGTACAACTCTTTTATATGGGGGCCCATCAGCATCAGACCTAGAGTTGCAAAGACCACCATGTACAAGGTGTTCCACCAGGGCGAAATGGGAATGCCCGACGTGGCAGGATACTACAGAGTGGCCCACGTCGCTCCTTTACTCTCTGCATGTAACGTTCACTAGGGAACCCGAACACGCAGACAGGATAGAGTAGAGAGAATTGCAATACCGATCCTTAGGTCGGATTATGCAAAAAGGGATAGTCAAAATACAAGCCGAGATCAAGGGAAACAGAGAGATGGAATAACGAGATAAAGCCAAATATCAGTAACCAGGAAATCAAAATAAGTACAACGCTTAATGGTAAACCAAAGACCACAACAGGGCACTGAGGCAAGGGAGGGTGTGTCTGATTGGCTAACCTCCAATTAGTGTTAACCACAACACGTGGGAGGAGTTTCTTCCTTCCCTTGTGGTCTCTTAGGTCATCACTCTGTGCCGGGTCATATGACCGGGTGCAGCACACATATAAGGAAGCTGCTCTGGAGCGTACAGCGTCAGACACACTGCCAATCTGGAGACAGGGACCAGATGACGCCGTGATGAGGTAAGCAAGGTCGACGTGAGCGGTGCAGGGACAGGAGATCTGACACTGCATTTCACCACATGAAACCGCTGACATGGATGGACTCCCTCTAACACACCTAGCATGGCTGCCCAAAGAAAGATGACCCACATACCCATAACAAAACTTACACTGTCCCTATGGGACAGACATCGAACTAAGCAATGTTTGAGGCACCATATCCCTCCAACCTTACCGCTAGCGGCTATGCCCATCATAATCCCTGACTTCAACTACAGAATCTGGAACAGACACGGAGCGTTCTCCCTATCCCAACTACTGCACAACTCCCACTTCAAAAATTCCCAGACCTACGAACAGAGTTCAACCTACCCACTCTAGCTCAATTCTCCTACACCCAGCTCCAATCCTGGATCACACAGACAAAAAGGGAGACGAACCATATAAAACCAAATACACCCCTAACGGGTGTGGAGAAGATATGCCTACGGCACAAACCACCAAACAAACTCATCTCCATAATCTACACCTCCAAGCACACTACACATAACATCAAATCTCTTCCATTCACGAGAGCATGGGAAAAGGAACTTACATACAAATTAACCGACTCCCAATGGAGGAAAATACTCCAGGCCCCAAAACAAATGACCCTCTGTGCATCACTTATCAAACTTCCGCGCAAAATACTACAGGGAGTGCAGAATTATTAGGCAAATTAGTATTTTGACCACATCATCCTCTTTATGCATGTTGTCTTACTCCAAGCTGTATAGGCTCGAAAGCCTACTACCAATTAAGCATATTAGGTGATGTGCATCTCTGTAATGAGAAGGGGTGTGGTCTAATGACATCAACACCCTATATCAGGTGTGCATAATTATTAGGCAACTTCCTTTCCTTTGGCAAAATGGGTCAAAAGAAGGACTTGACAGGCTCAGAAAAGTCAAAAATAGTGAGATATCTTGCAGAGGAATGCAGCACTCTTAAAATTGCAAAGCTTCTGAAGCGTGATCATCGAACAATCAAGCGTTTCATTCAAAATAGTCAACAGGGTCGCAAGAAGCGTGTGGAAAAACCAAGGCGCAAAATAACTGCCCATGAACTGAGAAAAGTCAAGCGTGCAGCTGCCACGATGCCACTTGCCACCAGTTTGGCCATATTTCAGAGCTGCAACATCACTGGAGTGCCCAAAAGCACAAGGTGTGCAATACTCAGAGACATGGCCAAGGTAAGAAAGGCTGAAAGACGACCACCACTGAACAAGACACACAAGCTGAAACGTCAAGACTGGGCCAAGAAATATCTCAAGACTGATTTTTCTAAGGTTTTATGGACTGATGAAATGAGAGTGAGTCTTGATGGGCCAGATGGATGGGCCCGTGGCTGGATTGGTAAAGGGCAGAGAGCTCCAGTCCGACTCAGACGCCAGCAAGGTGGAGGTGGAGTACTGGTTTGGGCTGGTATCATCAAAGATGAGCTTGTGGGGCCTTTTCGGGTTGAGGATGGAGTCAAGCTCAACTCCCAGTCCTACTGCCAGTTCCTGGAAGACACCTTCTTCAAGCAGTGGTACAGGAAGAAGTCTGCATCCTTCAAGAAAAACATGATTTTCATGCAGGACAATGCTCCATCACACGCGTCCAAGTACTCCACAGCGTGGCTGGCAAGAAAGGGTATAAAAGAAGAAAATCTAATGACATGGCCTCCTTGTTCACCTGATCTGAACCCCATTGAGAACCTGTGGTGCATCATCAAATGTGAGATTTACAAGGAGGGAAAACAGTACACCTCTCTGAACAGTGTCTGGGAGGCTGTGGTTGCTGCTGCACGCAATGTTGATGGTGAACAGATCAAAACACTGACAGAATCCATGGATGGCAGGCTTTTGAGTGTCCTTGCAAAGAAAGGTGGCTATATTGGTCACTGATTTGTTTTTGTTTTGTTTTTGAATGTCAGAAATGTATATTTGTGAATGTTGAGATGTTATATTGGTTTCACTGGTAATAATAAATAATTGAAATGGGTATATATTTGTTTTTTGTTAAGTTGCCTAATAATTATGCACAGTAATAGTCACCTGCACACACAGATATCCCCCTAACATAGCTATAACTAAAAACAAACTAAAAACTACTTCCAAAAATATTCAGCTTTGATATTAATGAGTTTTTTGGGTTCATTGAGAACATGGTTGTTGTTCAATAATAAAATTAATCCTCAAAAATACAACTTGCCTAATAATTCTGCACTCCCTGTATACAGATGGTACCTAGTCCCAGATGCCTCAAACAAAGTTACCCGAATATATCAGATAGCAAAGAAATATAGAAGTGGCGCTCTAGGATGAAATAAGTGACCGGTGCTGCTATACCCAAGTATATCACCACTATATATACTTAAAAAAGATACAATAAAACATGGAAAAGGTAAAAGCGCACACACACACCAAGGAGGGAGTTTACCTGACGTATAATAAATAGCAGGTATCTCCTCCTTATATACAGTTTGTGTATTGAATATTGGATTGCCTATACAGAGAATATAAACATAAAACAAAACATAGTGTAATCTGTATATCGTACACAATAGAAATGGAAGTTCTGAGTTAGAAACACTCACACTTTGATGAGCCGTTTAAAGTTACCCGAATATATCAGATGCCTGCTGGAGATGCCACACAAACAAGGGCACAATGCTACACACTTGGTGGCAATGCACGGGACTCAAGACCTACTGGCAAGATGTAGCAACCTTAGCACAGCAATGCACCGCTAGATACCAACAAAATCCACCCGGCAAAACTGTAAGGCCACTCTCTAGGATTACCGCTCACGACCAGCCAAAATTTAGGCCAAGCACGACCTACCTAGCATCATAGACGAACAATGCCCAAACTACTGTAAAAATACTGTAACCTGTTATAACTTTTAAATGAATGCTGTATCAAATCTGTCAAACTTGAAGGATAATGTATCTTGGGAAATATGTAATTAATAAACCCTTCTTTTCTTCTTCCCCCTATAACCATCCCTTTTCTTCTGTACCCTGAAAAAAACAATAAAAATGGTCAAATTCAAAAAAATAACAGTCATGAAAATTCTCTAACTTAGCTATTCTTAAGCCCTTAAGGACCAAACTCCTGGAATAAAAGGGAATCATGACATGTCATGTGTCCTTAAGGGGTTAAAGTTCAGTTATTTTGGCCTAAGCCTTGATATTCCCTTTTAACCTGGCTAGTACAAATGGCAGATCCAACAAGGATATTCACTAAACACATAATTGGCCCACCCACTGCCTACAATGCCAGTGTCCTCTCCTGCTTCCACCTATGGACAACAGGATATATATGGGGTGCCGTAACTGTAGTTCATCCTATTAAAGTTCTCTTGTATTTTGAAGCAAAGGACTTTAATTGGCTTCCAAGCCAATCAACCAGAGCACTCTGACAGACAAGTGTCGTCTCTTACAAGACTTGCCTGGTCATTACAACCAGTTTAGGTAACCCATTAGTTGATATATAGTGGGCGCAAAAAGGAGGTTTAACCCTCTGCATAATTAAATGGGGGCAAGTGCTGGCCAGATGCCAAAACTCTTGCACTTTACTAATGGAAACCACCAAACAAACTCATCTCCATAACTTTAACTTGGAACTTAACCATGGAACTTTACTAATGTTTGTTAGCTTTAGATTCGATTTTAAGGTGTGTTGTTGCCCGATTTCCATTCATGCCCCTAGGTCTTACCTTCTTGCTTTATATGATAAGATGCACTTTTATTCTGTAGAACACCTCTCTTCAACAGAAGGCTTTATATGTCTAACACCTAACTATTTTACTTATGATAAAACATGCAGTATTTTCCTGACACATAATGGATATTACTTGTATGTCTTCATTTGACTGCCAATAAAAGATCAACAACTCCACTTTTTTTTTTTGTTAACCTGAAGGTTTCAATTTACTGTTAAATGTGTATTATTGGCTGAATATTTAATGGCAGAGCTATGTATAATGCTGTTGAGTTTGTTTCCTGTAGACCACTATCTGAATGGCTGACCAAGCTTCATAGTACCAATATTCCACAACAACAGCGATGTGTTTCTAAAATGATAATCCCTGTGGGATTGTTTACCACAGTGCATTAAGGTAAGGATGTGTTATAGTTATAATATGTTTATTGAAAGGTAATATATTAACCATTTTAATGATTCAAAATAGTGTTTGGGACATCACTGAGCAACAGGAGGCACAGTCCGTATGTTGCTCAGCAATAAAGTGCAATAATAGCCCGTGAAAATTGGATGTGTTTACAATCTAGTGTTCATGAGGAAAGAGGCTGCACAAATGTGTTTGGAGAACACTAGAGTATGAACAGACTGTGCAAAGGCAAACTTTAATATGGAAATACTGAAGGGCGCAGAGTGAGCAGTCATGTGAATTGGAATATATAGCATTGTTTCTTCTGTTCTGATGGGTATATGTGAGGAAGCACAGGTCTGTGCCTTAGCTAGCATGAACCTTTAAAGTATTCTCAGGGATACTGCCAGTACTATAAAACCCTAGCTACATAGGTTATGGTGCAAACGGGGACACACTGACAGCCATCCATATTAAGCCCTGGGTCCCCCCAAAGTCCAGTACCAGCCAGGAACCAGTCTGATGATTGACCGTACTGATTGAGCTTCTATACAATCAGTCCTCATCAATGCACAGGATATAGGACTTGACGAGTGTGTTGTGTCCATGTTTTTCTGTGAGATGTCAGCATTATTGTCTCAATGTTGCAATGAGTTTTCATTGTCAGTGTGTGCTTGGGCTTTCCTTAAATACATTATCAGTTTTTCTCTTCCCTAGTGACAAATGTAGGGATGGAGTTAACTCGGTGGTGGGGAGCTACATGTGGCTTCTACCCGCTGCCCGGTTACGCTGCACACTGAGGGGGAACCAGGAAGGAGTTCCTGCTTCCCCAGCTGCTAGATATAGACTGCAAGCCTCCCCTTCTCCCCCCTCCGGAGCATAATGAGGAAAGGTACCTGTGTGTGTGTGTGTTTGTGTGTGTGCTGGTGTCTGTGTCTCTGACTGTCTGTAACTGACTGTCTGTAAGTGTGTGACTGACTGCTGGTAACTGTGTGTGTGTGTGACTGTCTGACTGTGACTGTATCTGGCTGCCTGTAACTTTGTGTGTATGTGAGAGAAAGAGACTGTCTGCCTGTAACTGTGTCTATGACTGTGACTATCTGCCTGTGACTGTTTGCCTGTAACTGTGTGTGTGTGTGTGTGTGTGTTACTGTCTTCCTATAACTGTGTGTGTATGGGACTGACTGCTTGTAACTGTGTGCATGTGACATTCTGTCTGAAACTGTGTGTGTCTTTGGCTGACTGTAACTTTGTGTTTTTGTGTGTGAGAGAGAGACTGTCTGCCTGTAACTGTGTGTATGACTGACTGTGACTGTGTGTGTCACTATCTGCCTGTAACTGTATGTGTGACTGCCTCTGATGGTCTGCCTGTAACTATGTGTGGAACTGTCTGCATGCAAACTAAAGACTGTAATTATGTGTGACTGTGTGAGTGGCTTTGTGTGTAACCATGTGGTCTGACTCTGTCGGACTCTGTGCATGTGACACTGCAAAAATACACACTAGCATCCACACATGGGCCTACATGCATTTTTAAAAATCTGAATTAATTCCCCCTATGCAAATACTACATCCTTATACATGGATGAGCGGGTGTAACCAGGGAGGGGCGCTGTGAAAAGTTTTTGCACAGGGTGCGTAAAGACCTAAGGGCCTACGGTCAGGTGCAGAGCATGTGGTAGAGGTCTTGCAAACTCCAGCACTCGGAGTGTCAGAGCATTGCTGTGGTAACCCTTGGCTGAGCTTGCTAGATCTCTACCACATGGCCTGTAGCTCTGCACTCAGCAGAGCTGCAGACCCCAGGCTGTGCTGAGCTCTCTTTCCTCCAGAGCAGACTTAGTGGAGTAACCTGGCACCCAGCAGCATACAGGAAAAGCAGTCAGGCCCTTGGTCGCAGAATGAGGACCCGAAGGATCAGTCTACCCTTCTTCAATGACATGGATGGGCTCTGTCTCCACAGCGAATTAATGATCAGTTAGGCAAATATGTTTTAGAAACAGGTTCACATAATCCCACCACAGGATAAAATACATCATAAGTGATGACTTCACCAAGGTTGCAGCAGTTTCAGAAAGGAGTATGTCCACGGTTCTACCCATTTAGGTAGGACCCTAAACTGTAATATAACAAAACAAATTAACCATTCTGTAACTTTAAAACAACACATTTCTGGTCAGTATTATACATAGTTGTATAGGGATTACAGGTTAGCTTTACAGGGATTTTTTTTTTTATTCTTTATTTTTGTTGTGCATGTTGTCACATAGCATCGACATACGCCACAACATGTTCATAGATGTATTCAAGTTATTATTATTATTTATTATTATTGCCATTTATTGCAAGTTATACAGTGGCATGATGAGTTGCACATTTTTATATAGTTATAACAATAACAAGCTTGGCTGCGCAATGAAGTCGTTAGAACAAGGTGAAATAATCAACGCTTAACAGTGCTAGGTTAGGTATGTTAGTTATGCTGCCATAATAGTAATATGGTATTATGATTTATACTATAAAGGTAACAGGCATGTGTTTGATATGTGTGCTGCTTGCGCTGCACTTGTGTAGGCTGTTGTGTCGTGAGAAGCAAATAACAGTGCAGTATTGTGCCTACTATGTGAGGTTACTTCGCTACACAAGCTAAATGTAAAAACAGACTTTATCGTAAGTAACTAAATATAAAATTATGCTTTGCCGTTAATTAGCTGGGCAAATAACCTTCAAGAGCATTGTGCAGTGTGTCCTGCGTTATCATGGGGGTATTGTCCACATGTGGCCTGTGTTATATTTCTGTGTCTGGGTATTCCGCTGTTATGAGAATTCAGATCAGTCCAGGCTAAGATTACCCCTGTGAGGCAGTGTTGTAGGCTTTTCAGCCTATACCCAGTGATGGTAAGTCCTGTGCTTTGTGTCTGCTGGACTCGTTGTAGCGGAACTGCAATGTTAAATCCCAATATCTCCGCTAGTACAGAAAGTAATTCAAGTAAAGCGCTGAAAATGAAGGCAATATCCCAAATCCCCCAGTAACCGGACGAAACACAGTTCTGGGAGTCAACTGACGATTTTATTCACAAGCTCCAGTATTTATGTGATTCCCCATGCAAGGGGTTTCCTTAATTACTTTACTGAATATGCAGGACATTTCTCCCACCATGCACTGCTGTACAAGAGGGATACTCCCACGAGAATATCCTGTTAAGTGGAATATCCCTCCGTACAGCAGAACCGGCTTTTCACACAAAAATCAGTAACTTATATTTTATTCGTGCTATTGTACCGAATGACCGTTCGGCAGATAGCTGGGGTCTGAGCGCACGCTTTGTGAAAGTACCGCTCAGATCCCAGCATAAATAACCGAATGCTGCACGAAACACACTTTAATATACATTCATCATAAAAGTCACGAATACACAATTGGGGAAAAAGTACCGAAAGACCGGCGCCCCCGAACGGCTTGGAAGTCCAGCGGTGTTCGTGCCATCGAGTAGCCGATTTTAATTCCAGGCACTCGATGACCAAACACCGCTGGGAAAAAGGGAAATCCAATATGGCCGCCGCCTCGTGGTCGGTAGCCAAATGGCGGCCACCCGGGAAATCCATTAGCAGCTGATTGCTACAATGTTGCAATCGGTTAATGGGAGCCACACGACCCCCTGTGTGTGGGCTCCCATTCGGTACTTTATTAGTTTCACTGTTCATGAAACTACCATATGAATGCTCTCTATTACAGTTATAAGTAAATACAGAAACTAGCAGAATTGGACCAGCTTTCTAGGACAACCTTTAGACCTATAACCGCACAATCTAAAGTGGCTAGGTTTGCCACACTCGTCTTTGCTGCCACAGGGCCCGGTGTCTCGGCCTCGGGGTTCGGCTCCGGTAGTGTCCCCCATGTGGTGCAGTCGCGTGGTCGCTTGCGGTGTTGCCTTGTATAGGGAGGTGCGTGTCGTGTTGCGCTTATCGCCGGGGTTTCGGTCAGGTTGGGTATGTGTGGGCGTCGCTTGGTTCGTAGCCCCAGTATTTCTTGTGTGCTGTTGGGTTCGTGTGCGGTATCTGTTATGCCGGATGGCCATCCTGGAGGCTCGGGGTATCTGCATATAGTAGCTGCGCCTCGCTGCAGGACGTATCCATGAGGCCAGTGTTAATTCAGCTTGGCGGTGAGTTACTCCCCGGCTGTGTAAAGCCTCCCTGAGGCCTGCGCAGAGCCAATGGAAGGTTTCCAGTGAGGACCTGTGTGTCTTGAGGCTGGTGCTCTGCATTTCAGGCATAGGCTGGGTGGCCATTTTGAGCAGGCTGTGTGGGTTTGTTGCCCCGCATTTCTTCACCCTCATCTTGCTCGCATTAGGGATGTGAATGGGTGTTGCAGGCTGCTGCTGCTGTGTGCCACGAGTTTGTCAGTCGCTTGTGTCCGCCATTTTGGAGGCCCTCACCTCCGGTCTGTTGGTTTTGGCTGTCTGCTCGGACTGCAGGTGTGTAGCAGGGCCAGCTCCGTGTGGCGGGGACCGGGATATCCCCCCCCCCGGTCCATGGGGAGAATACTAGGTGCTTGCCTGTGGGCTTGCCTGTGGCCCGGTGTGGTGAGTGGGAAGCGGCCGCATTCCCAGTCTGTCCATCTTTACAGGGATTTTTTTAGAAGAGCCCTGTAATGTAAATGAAAATTAACACTGAACTTGAATCTTTTTATTGAGTATACATTAAAATGATCGATGTTTCAGCCCCACTTTGGGTTTTCCCTGGATCCTGAGGAAAGCCCGAAGTGGGGCTGAAACGTCGATCATTTTTAATGTATACCCAATAAAAAGTTTTGGATTTTAAAGAAGACCGTGGAGTGCAGCCTTCATTGTGGAATTTCTATATACATATATATCTCTCTATATAGATATATATATATATATATATATATATATATCTTGATGAAAGTCCTGGAAAAGGACAGTCCCACTTTTTAATCTTGCTACAATAAAGAAGTTATTTTATTGAAGACCGTGAGTGCCGTCATTCCTCTTGTTGTTTGGATAACCAAAATCCCAAGCTGAGCACCTGGCAAGTATAGGACATGATAGCCTGAGTGCAAGGATTTCCTGTAATATATATATATATATATATATATATATATATATATATATATATATATATATATATATATATATATATATATATATATAGAGAGAGAGAGAGAGAGAGACTAGGCCTGCAGTTGTGGGAGGGGCATGGTCCCCTATTTAAACCCACTACTCACCTCCCTCTGCCTCGTTTGTGCTTTAGTGTTTGCATGACGCTAGTTCCAGTCGCATTTCCTCTCTCACCTGGTTCTCGTGGCTTTCGTTACCCCGCTGTCTGCTTGCCTGTGGTCGTTCTGGGCTCTGTTCCGGCTCTCCTGTCGTCCCTGGCGCTCCAAGCCGTCATCATGGTTTGGGTCTATTCTCAGCACCGTATTTCGTATCACATCACGGCAGACCCCCCTCTTCGTACTTATCTAGGCATGATATACTGCTGGAAAAGGTATATTGACGGCGTGTTCGTTGTCTGGACAGGATCGAACAAAGATTTTGAGGATTTTGAATGACTCCTTAAAGGACCACTATAGTGCCAGGAAAACATACTCGTTTTCCTGGCACTATAGTGCCCTGAGGGTGCCCCCACCCTCAGGGACCCCCTCCCGCCCGGCTCTGGAAGGGGAAAGGGGTAAAAACTTACCTTTTTCCAGCGCTGGGCGGAGAGCTCTCCTCCTCCTCTCCGCCTCCGTTACGCCCCGCCGGCTGAATGCGCACGCGCGGCAAGAGCTGCGCGCGCATTCAGCCGGTCTCATAGGAAAGCATTTACAATGCTTTCCTATGGACGCTTGCGTGCTCTCACTGTGAAAATCACAGTGAGAAGAACGCAAGCGCCTCTAGTGGCTGTCAATGAGACAGCCACTAGAGGATTAGGGGGAAGGCTTAACCCATTAATAAACATAGCAGTTTCTCTGAAACTGCTATGTTTATAAAAAAATGGGTTAACCCTAGCTGGACCTGGCACCCAGACCACTTCATTAAGCTGAAGTGGTCTGGGTGCCTAGAGTGGTCCTTTAATGTGAATGATTATAATTTGAGATTCACTAATGAGATGGGTGGCAAACAGCTTAACTTCCTTGATATAACTATCTTAATACAACCAGGACTAAAGATAGCAACTACCCTGTACCGGAAGAAAACCGCTTCCAATGGTTTATTAAATTGGACAAGCTATCACCCTTGACCACTAAAAGCAGGTATACCGATAGGGCAATACTTAAGGCTTAGGCGGAATTGTTCTACCACTGAGGGTTTTTAAATTAAAAACGACCACAAACATCAGACCAAAAACATCAGACCAAAAACTGATCTCCATATGACGCAGGCTGGGATTATATGTTGGGCACGTTTAGACAGTTTTGGCCGATTCTAATGTCAGATCTACACATTAAACAGGTGATTACTCCATTCCCATCCGGAACTGCATGTAGAGGTAGGAATTTGAGAGACACCCTAGTACAAAGTCACCTAGCCCCGCTGAAAAAACAATCTAAGCGTTACCTACCTAAGGGTACATACAAATGCGAACATTGTAGCGCATGTGAGCACATAGAAAAGAACTCCAAACAGTTCACTGATAGTAACGGAGAAGAAACATTCCCGGTTCGTTCTTTTTACAATTGTCGGACGGAGGGAGTGATCTATTTACTTACCTGATCTTGCGGAATAAAATATGTGGGAAAAACCTTTTAAACCTTTCAAATTCAGGATTAGGGAGCATGTTAATTCCATAAGAAGACCCTTGGAGACCCCTGTCTCACGCCATCTTGAAATACATCACGCAAACTCCTGGATTTATAAATTGAAGACCCTCTCCCCACGGGGACTGTATGAGGGCTTTTCCTTCTCTGCCTATCTATAGCCCTCACCACTCTCTTCATTAGATGTAAGGGGAAAGAAGGGATACTCTTACACTGGTCCTTCTATGGACAGTAGGAATTGTTAATGTTGTAAATATTATTACACAATATATGACCCAGATGACCCCCCTCGACACCACAGACGCAGGGCGAGACTTCATCCACGTCTATCCGCTCCTAGCACCGCACGCCGGGGATCCTTGCCTCACAACACGAGGCCTCCAATATGGCCCCACGATATCGGATATGGCCCCACGATATCGGAAAACAGCCAGCAGCCAACGGACTCCCGCGCCAGTGCCTGCAGCCCGCCGGACTGGTACGCACTGTTTGCCTCCCTGTCGAAAAAGGAGGACCTCCAGACTATCCTGACGGAGGTAAGGACCACACTCCGAGCGGAGATTGCTACACTCCACACCCCCCTGTCAGAACTAGAGGGGAGAGTAAGGGCCCCGGAAACTGCAGGCCCACCAGCCCCAAGCACAGCACTGCAAACCCCTGACACACATGCACGGCAAATCACAGACCTGCGGCTCCATGTGGAAGATCTGGATAACAGGAGCCGCAGGCATAACATCAGGGTGAGAGGGCTGCAGGAATCACAAGGCCCTGAAGATCTAAGGGAAAAACTAATCCCCATCTTTAACCACATCCTTAACAGGCCCCCAGACGCAAGGCTATATATAGACAGGGCTCACCGTGCCCTCCGTCCTAAGCTACTGCCATCAGCACCCCCGAGGGACATCATATGCCACATCCAAGACTTCCAGCTGAAAGAAGCCATAATGAGAGGGGCAAGGTCAAAGAGGTCCTGGAGGTTTGGGGGGCACCACGTGGAGCTCTATAATGATCTCTCCCACATCACTTTGCAAATGAGATGGGCCTTCTGGCCAATCACTATTGCATTACAGGACCAACAAATCTGATAAAGCTGGCAGTTCCCATTCGCACTAGTAGCACGCAAAGGCAATATGGAAGCTACCATCAGAACACTAGCTGATGTCTCAATCTTCCTAGACGCACTAGGGCTACCACCCATCCAGATAGGGGACTGGCCTGATTGCCCCCTCAACAACAGATTCATGGGCAGGCATGTAACACACACATTCGCAACCAACGAACAGGACGTGGGTACGGCCCTGCCACACCAAGCTGCACCCGAGGAGTAAAGGAAGCCAGAAGCCGGAGATACCTCCCGACCTCTCCCACACCCGAAGACACGGGGCCATGACACGCGGACTTATGGACATGACCTGAACTACCGCACTCCCACCTTGGAATACTGGACTCACAACCCAGATGCCACCACTGCAAGCAAGGAAGAACAGACTAGAAGGACACTCACCCCTGGGACCAAGAGACTGACATAAACAGTAAACATCATAGACAAAGACTTCTTTTTTTTTCTCTCTCCACTAGCAGGCCACAAACGTTTCGTAGTTTACCACATGAAGAAGTGGCTACATGATCTAGCTGATTCCACCCTGCTGACTATACCGAGTTGCCACCCGCTGACACTTGTGCCTATGTAGGCCAACATCTGTAAGCATATATCACAATGCCTTAAATTCATGCAATGTATGCATTGGGGGGACACAGGTACATGAGACAACCTCAAGACCTGGTCTGCACAACGTTAATAACGGAGCCGGGGCTTGCCCCCATACACTGCTACTGCAAATGGTCTTCTCTCACGCTACACATGGGGGGGGACTGAAACACAACATAATCCAGAGGGACAGCCGATGACTCACCGCTGATTTTCCCCCCACCCCCCTCTCAATGTTCGTAGGGATGTACGTGTGGGATCGAGACCCACTGCCCACACTGTGCTGTTCCCTCCCTACTTCGACTTCACCCAACCACCCTCCACTCATTGGACGAAGGCGTCCCCGCGACAGACGGATACATCCCCCTTTCCCTCGAAGCTGTCCTGACCAGAGACGCGCTACCCATGACCACACAGGACAAGGAAGCCAGAAGCCGGAGATACCTCCCGACCTCACAGGACAAGGAAGCCAGAAGCCGGAGATACCTCCCGACCTCTCCCACACCCGAAGACACGGGGCCACGGCTGGTAAGACAGGACCCTCATATCTGACGGAACCCAGGGACGCGACAACACCCATGCGCCCTCACCTTGCTCCATCTACCTGGTCCTGGCTTCCCAGGATGCCCCTGGCTGCAGACACGAGAGTGTGGCCGGATGCACCCGGGGGACCCCTCTGGACCTCGTCCCCCCCTCAGCCCACAACCAAACCCCCGAACACCACCATTGGACCCGATGGACATACATACTGGCACTGGTTTGTTATGGGGGTGGCAGGATCTCCTACCGAAAGGGATCACGTAGGCTGTAACTGTATACAATAGTAAAGAATGTATTCAGGTTTATCCACTGGTCATATTGGAATGTTATCTAATGTTTACATGTTATACTTGTTATACTTTGATATTTTAACCCACACTAATGGTTTATCTAATTGCTCATTGGCAGCAGGGCTCAGACGACCCTATGACGTGCTGACCCAAACCCACTACTGGGTAGTTACGCCTGTCAGAGGCACACCACCCACGCTCCCACAGGTTTACTGCCATACGCCAGGAACCGGACGCTAGGTCGCATCCCCTGGCGAACCCCTCTCCTGAGGCAAATTACCCCTTTCTCAAGCCACCACTCAGAACAGGCGGAAAAGGTGCAGGTACCAACACACCACACACTAACGACAAGGCCCACCAGCCTACAGTCACTACCCTAATTACGCTCCCGATGCTCACTACCACTCTCACTGGACCCCCCCACCTCCGCTAGCTGGGTGCCCCCGATTGGACGCCAGCGTCGCCAAATATCTGTGTCCCCATGTCTCCCAGTGTCCCCATGTCCCCATGAAAGTTTGTTTTAACATCATTCCATTAGCAGCACTTAAGAAGTGGGACCACTTCCGGCCCTAACATCCACCTCCCCCTCGGGGGAAGATATATCCCTCCTCTCGCAACCCACCGCCCCCTCTCTTCTTCTCCTCCCCCCTCTCCCTCTCTCTCTCTCTCTCTCCCTACATACCGCCCCCTCCCCCAAGATGTCTGCCGCTCCTCACCGCACCCCACCGAACCCGCACCGAACCACAGCCGTTGCCTGCCCTCTCGCTCTATACGATCAATGTGAAGGGGCTCAACTCCCCACAGAAACGGGCGAGAGCTTTGCGGGAATTGAGGGCCCTAAACATCTCAATCGCCTTTTTCCAAGAAACACACTTTATGCGGCACAACCATCCCCAATTCTCAAACAAGTACTACCCACTAGGCTTTCATGCCACTAACCCGGAGTCAAAAACCAAGGGAACAACAATCCTCTTTTCCACTGACACCCCGTTCTGGAAGGAAGCAGAAGTAGCGGACCAGAAGGAAGGGCACAATACACCACACACGCTTTACATTCGCGAACATGTATCTTCCTTCCTCATCAAAATTTTCGCAGACTTGGAATCCTTCAGTGAAGGAACCCTGATACTTGGAGGAGACTTTAATGCTCCCTTGGACCCGCGCCTGGACACCTCTACAGGCACCTCGACCCTCCCGGGACATGTTTTCCGAGGCAAGAGGGAGAAATTGCACGAATTTCAGCTGTCCGACTGCTGGGGCATCTTGCACCATGCCGACAAAGACTATTCATACTACTTCCCACCCCACAAATCCTACTCTCGTATAGATTACTTTTTCATAAACCGTCATCTAGACGACGTACACTCTGCTATGATTGCACCAATAACCTGGTCGGATCACGCCCCGATCATTATCACGCTCACATCACCCACACCCTTTCACAAACAGTGGTCTGGAGACTCAACAAATCACTACTGGAAGACCCACTGTTCAAAACTGAAATAGAAGACCAACTAGAACACTTCTTCCTCACGAACACAATGAGGGACTCCACCCCGGAGACCATCTGGGAAGCACACAAATGTGCGATGCTGATGCTGATGTGGCGATACAGGCACTGTTGTATCTACTTCTTTATTGAATAAAACATTCAAAACAAAAAAAAAACAAAAACAATGTGCAATATGAGGCACTTTAATTTACCAGGGGGCGCAGTGCAAGAAACAGCGTGCTACAGCTATCGCGGACCTCCTACTGAAAGTAGCCGAACTGGAAACAAGACACAAAAACACACTTGACGACAATGCATACACAGAACTGGTCACGGCTAGGGCTGCCCTAAACTTGCACTTATCCCACAAAATCGCATTCCAACTTGCATTGGCCCAAAATACTTTTTATGAATATGGCAACAAAAGGAGCAAAATGCTAGCCAGAGCCCTCAGGAAAAACAGACAAAGGAGCTTCATAAACAAAATTGTCTACAACGGATTACTTAGCATTAGTAAATTTTGCCCCTACTCGCTATACCGCGAGTAGAGGCCTGTGGCTGCTCACTGTTAAAAAAAAAAAAACAACAAACAAAAAAAAAAAGTCAAATTGAAGCATCGGCTTCCATAGTACATATGGGCCATAGCAAATATACTTTTGATATTGTACACCATATCACTATAGTTCATATAGACTCTGTACATTTATATCTGTATATATTTATTGTCTGTAAGTTTCCTAGAGTTGCCCATATGTACTATGGAAACCGATGCTTCAATTGGGCAAACTCTTTGTGAAGAGGGAAGCCGACGAAATGAGCGCCGAAAGAACCGGCAAGCCGAACTTCCGCCCATGTGACCGGCAGCCAGATGAGCGGTATACTTAAAGAGAATCAGCCGGATGGACTTTCTTATGCACTGAGGAAGACTCTGATCGAGTTGAAACACGTCTGCATACATTATATTGCTTATTTGCACTCTTTTATACAACTTGTTCAGTTGTTTTTATAATTTTTATTTGCAATAAATCTATTCATTTTTTATACCATCCTTGCTGTCTCTTCTGCCTTGAGGAGTATTGTGAAGACTCTGCACCTAGCCTGTATAGGCACCCTTGGGCATTTAACATAGAGCCTGGCACGGCTCTAGAATTCGTGAGTGGATCCATTATATATTTTTATTATTGTTATTTCCATATACAGTTTACACTATGTACTGTTTTATGTGATTATAGGGTCCAAGTACACGGAACACTACTAGTATATATCCCTGTATTTGCAAGTATTGTATATATTCACTGTTTTGGGATTAAGAGAGTGGTGTGTGGATTTCTGTGGCATTTGTGTATTCAGTGTCCACATATTTTCTAAACTCTGGATATACATAGAAGCCAGCCTCACGACGCTCCCTCTGCGAACACTCCCGTGGCAGCCCACAACTCCAGTGACCAGGGGAGAACGAAGCAACCCCATAATAGCCACCACCCTCAACGTCTGGAGGAAACTATCGGCAGAGGCAGATCTTTCCCCACCTATTACCCCCTCCACCCCATCATAGGTAACCCGGCTTTCAGCGGCCTTGACACCGCTCGGACCATGATCAGCTTGGGACTGCCGCTGCAATGTAAGCTACAACACATGCTTACAAATGGAGGCATCACACCGCTTCCTGACCTACCCATGCCGGAACCTCCAGATTTAATGACTAGATTTAGACATCACCAAATAACCCTCAGACTCAAGCAAGTACCCAACATAAAATCAAAGAAAAAAGGTGATTAGCGCACACATATGAAAATAACTTTGTTTTACCTTACGTAAATTGTGTCTCAGGTAACCACAAAGCAAGTACTTTTTACACCTATATAAAAGCAGACAAAGCATACATAGTGTAATCTGTATAAGAAATAATAAAGTGAGGACATTTTTTTTTCTTCAGACTCACAATTTTTAGAGCTATTTAAAAGTTAGCTCTAGACTTATAATGCTCATCATCTCATCCTTAGGTGATGCAATGATAGTCCATCCAAAGTATCCACAGGAACTTATAGCTGGTAAAATTCCAGTAAGATTCAAAGTCCGTGGAGGATTAATATAAAAAAGTATTTATTCTCACATGAAATTTAAAATAAGAAATATGTATACGTATACAAATAAAATATATAAAAAAATAGCACAACGCGTTTCAACCTTTACAAAGGTCTTTCTCAATTGCATCTGACTTACAACTGGGATAAGAGGCCCTTTTATAGCAAAGAGTAATTAGAACAAAGTACATAATTGTAGACAAATGTGTTACCACTACCACCCACTTCCATTTATGGTCATAGCTGGAAGTGCCTTGCCATCCAAAAAATGGCCGCACCTCCGGCTATGAATCCCATTAATCTTGCCCTCCCCAACATGTCCGATCGTATTCTCCATTCTGTGGAGTCCTATTCAGTCTAATTTCTTCCGATGACATCAACATCCTGCCGTCTGTGTTCCGATACGTCACTTCCCGTGACGTGTATATTCTAATATCTTTTGCGGTCACATGATTCCTGGCGCTCGTTCTTTTTTTGGCTCGTCAAAAATAATGAAAACGACTATTTGCACTGATGTAAATGTCCTCAGTTCATGATATTTATATGTCCACAAAGAAGAAAAAAAAAAAGGGGACAATAAAAAATAATATAAAGAAGAGGGACACAATAAAATATAGTATTATTAAACATTTTTCTATACATACAGTTTAATATAAAGTGATTTAGAGAATTCCACCACAATATATATTTTTGTAAATAGGAGAAAGCAATTAAAGAAATACAACTCTATTAAAAAATATTAAAAGGTAGATATAAAAATAATAATAATCTCTATAAAATACTATTAATTTCAAAATCAATATTGAGACACAAGGGAGATAAAGTGCATATCTCAAAGATCCACTTTACTTCTTGGGTACTCAATTTTTTGGGGAGATCTCCTCCTCTCCAGTGAAGCTCAATTTTTTCAATAGCACAGAAACTTAAAAACTTTGGGTCTGATTCATGTTTGTCTAAAAAAATTTTGATACGCTATGATTAATAAAAACCCCTTTTAATATTTCTAATATGTTCATTTATTCAAATTTTTAAAGGTCTTGATGTCTTGCCTACATACTGGAGGCCACAAGTACAATTTAATAAATATATGACGTTCTTTGAGTGGCACGTAACCATGGATCTAATTTTAAATTCCTTTTCAGTATTAAAAGATTTAAAATTAATTTTGTGTTTTTCTCTTATATTGGTCTGTTTGCATGCATTGCACATCCCACAGTGATAAAAACCTTGTTGTTTCTTTGACCAATTTGTTAAAAAATTACTAGTTAAAATTTGTTTAAAATTTTTTGCACCTCTAAAAATAAATTTAGGTTTAGAACCTAAAAATTCCTGTATTTCTTCATCCTGAGTTAAACTATTCCAATTTTTGTTGATAATCTTTTTAATAACACCTATATTACTGGAATAATTGAAGATAAGAGGGATTTGTTTGTCGTTGCCTGTCAATATATCATCTTTCTTTTTATATTTTAAAACTTTAAGGTTGACACTTCCTGAACTTGTATATCTAAATCTTTCTTTTGGTATCCCTTTTGTACAAATTGTGTCTTTAAAAATTCGGCCTGATCAAAAAAATCTTGTTCATTCGTACAGTTCCGACGTAATCTTAAAAATTGTCCCCTGGGAATGTTGGACAACCATGGTCTATGATGGCAGCTACTAACTTCTATATAACTATTGACGTCGACTGATGTAAAAAAAGTACGAGTGGTTAAAATGTCATTGCAGACCTGAATATTCAAGTCTAAAAAAATCAATATTGGTATTTCTCATACACTTGGTTAGGCGAATCCCCCAATCATTGATATTAAGAGAATTAAAAAAAACTGTTAAAAAGATCCTCCGATCCTTTCCATATAATAAAGATATCATCTATATATCTTTTGTATAGGACCAGGTTTGCACCACAGTCATGTCCTTGATGAATAAAAGTGCGCTCCCAATATGCCATAAAAAGGTTTGCATAACTTGGTGCAAACCTGGTCCCCATAGACGTACCTCTAACTTGTAGATAAAAATCTCCTTCGAACCAAAAATAATTATTATTAAGAATCATCTGAATACCATTTAGAATGAAATTTAGCTGATTTATATTATATTTCTTAGACTCTTGTAGAAAAAAACTAATTAATGCCTGATATTATAGGACGTCCCGGTGGGTTAATGGGATCTTTATGTAACTTTGGTAATACGTATATTACTGGTATGCGTGGATGATCAGGAAATAAAAAAGCTAATTCACTCTTATTTAAAATCTTATCATTGTCTCCCTGTTCTAAAAAAGTCTTATAGATTGTCTTTATTTCTTGTGTAGGATCTTTTTTTCAATTTTTTTATACGTATAAGAATCTTGAAGCTGTCTTTCAATCTCCTGTAGATAATTAACTTTATCCATTATTACCACTCCCCCCCCTTTATCGGCTGGTTTGATAACTATTGATGGATCTTTTTTTAATTCTTCTAAATTCCTTTTTTCCTCAAATGTTAAGTTCAGGCTATATTTTGAAAGAGGTTTGATTTTATATATTTCCTCCAAACATGACCGCTCAAAAACTTTCATTGAGTCAGACTTAAAGGACCACTCTAGGCACCCAGACCACTTCAGCTTAATGAAGTGGTCTGGGTGCCAGGTCCAGCTGGGGTTAACCCATTTTTTAATAAACATAGCAGTTTCAGAGAAACTGCTATGTTTATGAATGGGTTAAGCCTTCCCCTATTTCCTCTAGCGGCTGTCTCATTGACAGCCGCTAGAGGCGCTATGCGTTTCTCACTGTGATTTTCACAGTGAGAGCACGCAAGCGTCCATAGGAAAGCATTGTAAATGCTTTCCTATGCGACGGGCTGAATGCGCGCGCAGCTGTTGCCGCGCGTGCGCATTCAGCCCAGGAGGAGGAACGGAGGCGGAGAGAAGGAGGAGAGCTCTCCGCCCAGCACTGGAAAAAGGTAAGTTTTTAACCCTTTCCCCCTTCCAGAGCCGGGCGGGAGGGGGCCCCTGAGGGTGGGGGCACCCTCAGGGCACTATAGTGCCAGGAAAACGAGTATGTTTTCCTGGCACTATAGTGGTCCTTTAAGGAATGCGGGATAAAAATTAGTTTTCTTTTTAAAATCACTATGGACCATATCCATATTGTCCTCACTTGAAATTAAAATAGTGTTTTTATTGGGTTCTGACTCTTTCCTCTTAAACAATTTTTAAGACATAATTTACGACTAAAACGGTTAATATCAATGAATGTTTCAAACTTATTTACAGAACAACTTGGTGCAAATTTAAAACCTTTTGTTAAAACTTTAGTCTGTATATCTGTTAAAACTTTCTTTGATAAATTAAAAACTTCTATGTCATTAATCGTTTTCTCCTTGCTCCTAACATTATTTCTCCCTCCTCATTTTCCTCTTCTATTGTCCTGTATCTTTTTTGGGGAGTATTTTTTGGGTGGTTTGTCCATTTTTGTCTATGTTCTAAAAAAAAATATTAGATTCTTCATTATCATTTCGTAATGATTCGAATCTATTGGTTAGAGGTATATCAGAACTAGCTTTTCTCTGGGGAATATAGTTTTTTCTAGGACTCTTCATCCAGTTTTCCTGATTCCTCAATCTCCCTGTATTTTGGGGTCTGCCTCTCTGGGTAATGGTTTTTGGAGCTCTCTCTGCCTCATCTTTTTCCCTTCTATTTCTTTTAGATTGTTCATTTTCTTCATCCCTCACCCTAAATGGGATAACTCTTTCATCATAATATATCTGATTTGAGACTTTTCTCGAATAACCGTTATAAGGTTTTCTCGAACTCTGTTGATAATTTCCATTTTGGTTCTTAGGCTTATAAGGATTTTTTCTAACTCGATTTTGGGCGTAATCGTCCATATCCCTTTGGAATTTTCTTTTTTTGGTACTATAAGGGAATTTTCAATCCTTTCTAAATTTACTTTAATTTTTTCAGCTAAGCTCTCAAAGTCTTTCGTATTAACAAAGGGTTCTAAACGTGATTTGATTTCTTTAATTTGTTCATCAATCTCTGTCAAATTTTATTTTCTCTCGTGAACAATAATATTGATCATGGTCACGGAAAAAGATTCCAGAGCTGATGTTCAAATTCTTAAGAAACTTTCCTTTTCCCTATTAAAGGTTGGAAATTTGGTAAACCTTAAACCTCTGGGAGTAATCTCTTTTTCAAGATATTTTTCCAATGTAAAAATTTCCCATTTAATTTTTACTTCTCTAATCATAAGTTTTTCCAATATGTTCATCATTTCATCTAAATTATAATTATTGTTATTTTTGATTGGATTTCTAAGTTATTGCCCTCAAATTTTGAGAGCATTTTTTCCCCAATCTTGTCTTTGTTGAAATAGGGACATATTTGGAAAAACCAAAACAAAGCTGCCGTCCTTTTAAAATGACACAGAAGGGCACTTATGAATATTAAACAGATGGTGCAGCTAAAAATTACCCAAGTGTAGTGTCACCAAAATACACTAGAAAACCATTATTCCCTATCTGATCAATGCCGTGCGCAGCCTCATCCCGACCTTCTGGAAACAGACCTCAGCCCCCTCCACTACTGACTGGATCACCAGAGTGGAAGACATCAGGAGCATAGAAGA